CTATTTAAATCATGATTTATATATTATACAGGCATTTCATATAATCCCTGAAGGTGTCAATCAAAATGATAAACAGGTTGTCAGTCAATTGAATATTAACATAATTTCTCCAACAAATCTGTGTAGCTAGAACAAGTTTTATTCAATGGTTGTTTATTGAGAGCTTAAGTGTATAAAATAAATCTAGTTCATAACCTCCTGCCAGTATACTTATTGTCAAAACACTTATTCACTTTCATCATTACACATATAGTAAATAAATTATGGTCCCAAAATGACCTTGTTTGTGTTGAGTAGACGTTAAAGCCCATTTCGCTCTCTTTCATAAATAAATTAAAAGTTTACTAATTATCATACAGGTAAAAGAACCTTAATTACGTCTGCCAAACATTTGTAGTTTTCCAGTCCTAGAAATGGTTTGGGGGGGGGAAGGTTAGTGCGTGCACGTTTTATCATATGGTCTATTATTGAGTCAAGCGGCGCTGTTTTGATTCCCTGGTTGTACATGACAAGAAGTAGGGTCATCTGTCCAACCTCATTGGTATTCTCCGGTTCCTCAAGTTTCCTCAGACTGCTAAAGACTCCTCCGCTCTGGCAAATTATTGAAATAAAATTGAACCATATGTTGAGTGGACGTTAAACCCCATTTCTCTCTCTTTCTCTCTCCCCCTAGAAATGTTTTTCTATGACACTTGTTTGAGTAGATTTATTTGTGGATGTAATTACCCTACTGTGTATTTTTGTCTTTCTACTATTATAGGCCCGTAGTTTAGTTTGTTACTATAAATAACTGTGCATTACTATAGTACCATCTGTGAGTTATTTATACGTGTTACCTACATACATCTGTATATACACAGGTAACATCTATACAGCACATGTACCTTGTAAATCAAGGTAAATAAAAGACACAGTAGGCTCACTTGTCTTCACGCCAAAAAAATTTCTTTATGATTCATGTAAATTTATATATCTTGAGGAAAAATACGTCCAGGTTCACCCAATAGATTTGAACTTTATCAGAGTTATGCTGATACAATAAGGTTTCTTTTACGGTTAGGAATTTTAAAATTCTACACATACTGAGGAGGTCTCAGATTCCATTGATGTCTTGGTACATGTAATTCTGGGTGGGAAATGAAATGAAATGGGGTTTAACATCCTCCTGCTCTGCTCCCACTGGGCTAAATTCTGAGTAGGTCACTGATTCTGCTACTCCACTCCGGTCACCACATCATAGGTCAATGATTCCAATCATGGCATAGTCAATGATTTCAGTCATGGCGTAATGATAGTTAGGTCAATGATTCCAGTCATGCCATAGTCAATGATTTCAGTCATGGCATAATGACAAGTAGGTCAATGATTCCAGTCATGGCATAGTCAATGATTTCAGTCATGGCATAATGATAAGTAGGTCAATGATTCCAGTCATGACACAATGATAAGTAGGTCAATGATTCCAGCCATGGCATAATGATAAGTAGGTCAATGATAAGTTGATCACTGATTTAAGTCTAGGGTTTATGATACTGACCTTTTTAAAGAAATGTCCTACAGGTCTGCACCAACAGGGCTAATGAATACGGGCATGCGGTGTGCTAATTTACCGTATATCTTAAATTCAAACTGTCGAGGATTCGTTTTACATGCATGCCAATGTATACACACCGGACCTCAGTTTTTCATCTGTCCCTTGCCAGGTCCTCTGTCCTGCATCACTGACAACGGGGTACCACTCCAGGAAATCCTGATGAACTTTCTCTGCCAACGCCAGGATAATAGCTGAAGTAGCCTGGTTGCATTCTGGCAATGACCATCATTTTAAGATGTTGAGTAGGTCCATACGCTAGTAAAACTAACAACTAGCCAGCCACTGCGGCTCCCCTAGTAAAACCAACAACCAGCAAGCCACTGCGGTTCTCCTAGTAAAACTAACAACCGGCAAGCCACTGCAACTCCCCTAGTAAAACTAACAACCAGCGAGCCACTGCAACTCTCCTAGTAAAACTAACAACCAGCGAGCCACTGCAACTCTCCTAGTAAAACTAACAACCAGCGAGCCACTGCGGCTCCCCTAGTAAAACTAACAACCAGCAAGCCACTGCAACTCCCCTAGTAAACTAACAAGTTCTGATAGTATAAAGTGTAAACATGTCCGACAAGTGTAAAATGTCAATAATTACTTTAGATTTAACATTTATTTACAGTACAAACATCTATAACTCATCCCAACACACTTTTACTTGTACGCTAAACATTTTACTAGTTTACAACAAATAACACTTAAATACCAGCTTCAGACACATTTATAAATAAATCTAAATATTTTCTGTTAGTGTTAAAATTAACTGAAATAAACATTTACTATGTGTTATGGGTAAAATACAGCCCATTTTCAGAATAATGGAGCTAGACATACTATAATTGACTTTTTGCTTTATCAATCTGCTTTTTTATATGTTGTTTTGCTCAGGCGCCGAGTTCACAAAGCATTCTCAGACTTAAGTTAAGAATTTGCTCAAAATTGGTCACCTTATTTTAACTAAAATATAGCCCTTTATAAAACTTTTGTTTTAATGTATCAAATACATCAATAAGAAACTATGTGCAAATTTTTGTGCTTCTGGATCAAAGCCTGGAGGTCATGTGTTTGATCCTTGCATTGGCCGAGAAAGTCCATCCATATTTTCCGGCGTGGTTCCCCCCTTGTCAGTGATGCAGGATGGGAGGACCTGACAAGGACAGCTGTCTAGTCCTTCTGATACATGTGACGTATACATTGGCGTGCACGTAAAATAATCCCTTGGATTTCGATATAAGAGTAGGCCATAGTGCCGCTGCCCGTGCAAAATTCCCCTCATAGCACACTGTATGGCGTATGCCCGTCTTCATTAGCCCAGTAGGAGTAGAACATTAAACCCCATTTTATTTCTGCTTGTAAAATATGATGAGAGAAAATGAAATACACCAATGTGTATATTTTTTTAGCTATATGATTGATCCATTGACCTGATATTTATCTGTGGGCTATGTCTGTAAACCTACATGTATGTGGTTGATATATAAATTACATGTTTATTTGACATAACATGTTAATAGATGTCATTTTGTATGTTACACCCAGTATAATTGAACTATAATAAACACCAGTATAGCATGGTAAGGAGTAGGGTCATCTGTCTCTATATCTTCCTGCTATATATAAGCAGTAAGGTGCATGATGTTAAGAAATAAAGGCCTCGGAGACTTCATCACCAGTAATATATTACATGTATATCACTTTGGCTTATAATTACAATGGGGATGGGTGGCCGAACGGTTTAAGGTTTGTGCTCTAGATACATGTAATAAGGTCTGTCTGGTTTAACATTTGCACTCTATATCATAAGGTCTGTCCAGGTGTGGATCCAGGGGGGGGGGCGCACTCCCCCTATTTTTTGCCCCTTATATGCTCACGGGGAAGGAGAACAAAAATACTTAAAAATGGTAGTGATCTCTGTCCTTGGTTGATTGCTCGTCAGTCTGCTCACCGAGAGTGTGGCTTCGCACTCCCAAGTGGGGGCAGCACCCCCCCCCCCCCTTTCTGAAAATCCTGGATCCGCCCCTGCTTTCATTGAGTCAAGTGGTGTGGTTTTGATAATAAGGTCTGTCATTTAGTCAAATGGTGTGGTTTGGATAATAAGGTCTGTCATTGAGTCAAATGGTGTGGTTTGGATAATAAGGTCTGTCATTGAGTCAAGTGGTGTGGTTTGGATCCTAAATCTGTACCTGACAAGGATTAATGTCTCCTGTCCAACCCCATGGGTTTTCTCTGGATTGACTCCAGGCAAATTTTTAAAATAAAATCGTGCCATATTTATGTTAGTCAAAAATGACCAAGTTTGTATTGAGTTGTTTTTAAAAATTCTATTTCCACTCCTCTGTCTCCGATGATACTGATGGAATATACCATTCACAATAAAAACATAAGACACAGAATAACAATAAAACACAGGATAGGATACTTTATTCACTATTGAATTATTGTCTGTTTATTGGACACACATGAACAAACATGGACTAGTAAAACGTAACTCACAGAGCTACTCCTTAATGCAAAACAAGGGATAACTGTGTATGAATGAAATTTCCAAACCTATGATTGTCTCTCAATTAATGGGACACGGAAACAAGGATTAGTAAAACATAACTCACTGAGCTACTCCTTAATACAAAACATGGAAAAACTATGTATGAATGAAATTTCTAAACATAATTGGAATCACACGTGCAGTAAAACGTAACTGACTGTGCAACATTAATAATACACATGGAATAACTTCTTATGAATGAAAGTGCAAGTAGAAATACAGTAAACCTTGCATAAGTCGGATTTGTATAAGTCGGATCTTCGCTCAATTCGGATAAAATCGTTTGGACCCTTTGATCCTGCAGGTTTTTCTTATTAAATTTCTGTGCGTAAGTCGGATCTTTGCTCAACTTCGATCAAAATGTTCAGTCGATTTGATCTAATTCCTGATTTTTTTCTTCGCCTAAGCCGGTTCGGAAGTATGTGCAGAATTTCACTGTCAGTTTCGTCCCGATGGTCTAAAACTTGGTTAGGTATTCCTTGCACAGAGCCCCAAAATACTTTGCTCTATCATTTTGACTCAAATCAGCCAATTTGATGCAACGTAATAATAGAATTTTCCGGGAAAATTAGAAACTCACTGTCTGGTGTACGAGACACTTTCCGGGAAAATTTAGGACATTTTTCAAAGATGGCGACAAAACGGAAGTTATCTACTCGTACATACAAACAAAAGCTTGAAATGTGCCTTTGAATCAATTATTATCTGGCTCTTGCAGTTTATTTCTAAGTCCACTTAGATCCAACTTATGCAAAGTTTACTGTAGTCTGTAATAATTTTTTAATTCCTTCAGTGACTGAATTACACAATATTTATTAAGTTCACATGTAAATATTTTTTGATCTGATAATTTATTTTGTTCTTCAGGTGTCCATGCTGGTGATCCTCCATGAAGAAGCAGAAGATGGTAACGCTATGCCTGATCTGGCCCAGCCAGTCAGAACTGTTAAAATTGCTGTTGATAACTTAGTCAAGGTAAAATTTGAATTGAAGTCAAATTATTCATTTTCATCATGATCATATCCATCCCCCATCTCATTAGTCCAGCCTGTCTAGCCTCAAAGAAAATCCTGTTTTGTATATATTTATTATTTTTAAAAAAGAGGATTCAACCCCGGTTTTGACTGAGAAAGTTCCTCTGTGTTTTGCGGCATGATTACCTCTTAACAGTAGTGTAGGGCCTAACCAGTCAATGCATCTTTTTATTCAAAGGGGACGAATACCAAGGTCATGTGTACACGTAGGCATAGACATAAAGAACCAATGGAATTCAAAATTAGACAAGGCTGTAGCGCCACTGTCAGGCAAACTATAGTGCATCATGTATGACCATCTCTTTAGCACATTTTTTTTTCTCAAACAAGTAGGATGTTAAACCCCATTTCGTTTCATTATTTTACAGGTAGGATATGAAACAATTAATTCCAGTGATGATCAGATTTTAAAACAAGACATGCCACCGGCATTACGTCGAGTTGATGAATCCTCCCTACTACTGCTGGAGGCATCAGACATGCTGAGATCAGATCCGTATTCAGGACCAGCTAGAAAAAAATTAATAGAAGGATCTCGGGGTATGATTTTTTCTTGTCTCTTTAGACCAGTGGTTCTCAACCCGTGTGCTGCAAGATCTTCCTAAGTATGCACCGAAATTTTGAACCGCACACTAAGAAAATAAGAAAGGCTACGTGATCCCAATTGAATATTCACTGGTGTCTACTGATAAGTTCATGGCTATGTGTCTATGACTAGTGCCGTCTGACTTGCCATGTTTTTATTTTTCAAAATTCAAGTATTTTTCATATTTAGCCAGGTGTGCCGCTATGTGTTGCAAGGTGTGCCGTTGGTAGAAACAATCACTAGTTTTATTCTAAAATTTGTGTTCTGTTAAGCTATCCTCCGGCCTGTAAATAACAATTTTAGATGAACATGACAAAATGTCACGCACTGTCAGGCTCAATCACTAAATCAGGCTCAATCCTTTTGTCTGGCACAGATTGGGGGTTGGGTGGCCTAGTGGTTTAACGTGTGTGCGTGAAATCGTAACGTCTGTCATTGAGTTGACTGGCGTGGTTTCAATTCCCTGCAGGGGAGTTGGATGGCTGAATGGTTAGCGTGTTCGGGCTGTATCATAAAGTCTGTCATTGAGTTGACTGGCGTGGTTTCAATTCCCTGCAGGGGAGTTGGATGGCTGAATGGTTAGCGTGTTCGGGCTGTATCATAAAGTCTGTCATTGAGTCGACTGGCGTGGTTTCGAATCCCTGGTTGTACGTGACAAGGAGTAGGGTCGCCTTCCAACCTCGTGGGTTTTCTCCGGGTCCTCCGGTTTCCTCCCACTGCTAAAGACCCCTATGCGCAAGCGAATTATTGAAATAAAATTAAACCATATATTAGTCCCGAAATGACCTAGTTTGTGTCGATGTTAAACCCCATTTCTCTCTCTCTCTCTGCATGTGCGTGACAAGGAGTAGGGTCTTCTGTCCAACCTCGTGAGTTCTCCGGTTTCTTCCCACTGCTAAAGACCCCTATGTGCAAGCGAAATATTGAAATAAAATTGAGCCATATGTTAGTCCCGAAATGATCCAGTTTGTGTCGAGTGGACGTTAAACCTCATTTCTCTCTCTGTCACTCTTTTTTGATTAAATGTTAAATCATCAATTTGACTGCACTTTAGCTTGGATTAAGCCATGGATTACTTGATTTTGCAAATGCTTCAGGAACTTTAATATACATTGAAGTAAAGTTCTGATATAGAATAAATTATCATAATTTATTGATCCCTATAAATTATTGTGTTTCAGGTATTTTACAAGGAACATCATCTTTATTATTAACCTTTGATGAATCAGAGGTGCGGAAGATTATTCGAACGTGTAAAAATGTTTTAGAATATTTAGCTATAACAGAAGTGGTTGAGAGAATGGAAGATCTTGTAACATTTGTAAAGGTGAGTAATAAATCCATATCGCATAAAATAATACCAGACTGATATCGATTTTGGTTGAAGATCGATGGAATTTTCAATTTGTGAAATCTTTGTAGATACTGAACGGAATTGAAAAATTTTTGGACTGATATTCCTTTTAGAGTTTCCTCTTTCACAATATTGTAGTTTGCGAGAGATTCTATAATGCTAAAATAATGCAAAGAGGGTTTTATACAACTGTAGATTTTGTCATATCACAACAAAACAAAAAAAACCATGTAGTATTAAATCTGTGAGAGTTTCATGGGCCAAGAAAGTTCCTTAGGATTTCCCAGTCTAATTTCCCCCTTGTCGGTGATGCAAGATAGGTTGGACCGAAACCCATACCCCATTGGCAGCCCGTGAAATTGAAACAAGAGTACATTGTAGTAGGGCTGGCGAAAAAAATCAATATAGCCGATAATCGTCGGCGATTACGGGAAAATAGTAATATCAATATTCACTTCTTGATACCGATACTCGTATTAAAAATAAAGCTTCAATAAAATGAAATCAACGGAATGTTTTGTGTCTCTTATCAGTGATGCAAGATGGATGAGACCAAAAACCATGTCCCATTGGCAGACCGTGAAACCGAAACAAGAGTACACTGTAGTGTTGTTGTCCAAGGAAAAATGTCCCTAATATCTCTCTGCATGGCTTATAATCTGTATTACTAGTCCAGAAATGACCTAGTTTGTGTCGAGTGGACGTTAAACCTCATCTCTCTCTCTCTCTCTCTATCAGTGTTACTAATACTAATACCCATGTTGTTTCAGAACTAAGATGTTAAACCCCATTTCATATCTTGAAGTACATAACCAATATTATTTTACCGTGGTTTTTTTTGTACTGCATTACTATTATTATTTTTGTAGTGCATTAGTAATATTATTTTTGTAGTGCATTAGTAATATTATTATTAGTAATATTATTTTTGTAGTGCATTAGTAATATTATTTTTGTAGTGCAATGCTGATATTATTTTTACCATGTTATTTTTGTAGAATTTAAGTCCTGTAATAACGAAGATGATGAAGGAAGTGGATGCCCGTAAAGAAGAATTGACGCACATCGTACATCGTGATATGTTGAAACGTTCCCTGGATCAGGTGAAAAATCTCACACCTGTTCTAATTAGTGGTATCAAAATATTCATCACTGCCAAGGCTAACAGTAAGTAGATAAAAATTAATTTGACTTTTTCGAAAAAAGTGAAAAATCTTGGGGTCCACCTGGATTCATATTTATAAATGGAACAACATATCAGTATCACTAACATTTATCGTGCTTGTCACTTTCACCTCCATAAAACATAGGATCCATAAGAAATCTGATCCCAAGAGATGCTGCTTACCACATTGTGCGATCCCTTGTACTATTAAGATTAGATTATTGTAACAGTCTGTTGGGTAATTTGCCCAAAGAACAAATAAATAGACTGCAACAGACTATGAACACGACAGCGAGAACTGTGACGAAAACCTGCACATATAAATCCAGTACTTAGAGAACTTCACTGGCTCATAGTGGAGGCCCGTGTGAAATTTAAAATCTTCTCACTCACATATCAGTGTTTTCACCAAACCATACCAAGTTATCAATCGGAATTTGTCTCATAATATCATCCTAGCCGAACACTACGATCGGCTAACCAAAACTTAGTTTGTGTCCCAAAAGTCAAATTAAGATTATCTGGACAGCGATCTTTCCAGTATAACTCAGCAACATTTTGGAATAAACTACCATCAGAAGTTAAAGATGCACCAACCTTATTACAATTCAAGAGTTTATTAAAAACACACCTGTTTAAAGAATACTATAAGAAATAAAACTGTTATAGCACATAAACCATAATGTCATTAGACTTTTTGTAGCGCTATGAGCATATACTTAGTATATGGGAATTTTATCGCGTTAAAAGTGCACTATTATTATTATTATAAAATTAATTTTAACAACTACCACCATACATTTTGATACAAACCCAAGGTGGCAAGGAGTAGGGTCGCCTGTCCAACCTTGTGGGTTTTCTCTGGGTCCTCTGGTTTCCTCCCACTGCTAAAGACCCCAACGTGCAAGTGAATTATTGAAATAAAATTGAACCATGTGTTAGTCCCGAAATGACCTAGTTTGTGTCGAGTGGACGTTAAACCCCATTTCTCTCTCTCTCACACAAACCCAAGGCCGAAAAAACAAGACATTTGGGTATTTCATCTTTCAATGCGATGAAGCTTGCTGGAAATCTTGGGGTTGTTACTGAAGGTGTCAAATTTGATTTGTCAAAAATTATATTTACAGTAACACTTTTCTCTCATCCTACATTCATAATAAGGCAATTTTTTTTTTCATTTTACATAGATCAGGGTTTTACGGAAGCTCAGAATAATCGTGATTATGTTGTCCGTAAAATGTCTGATGAAATACACGAGATTATCCGTGTGTTGTTATTGACAACTTATGATGAAGATGAATGGGATGCTGATGATTTAACTGTCATGAAGAAAGCTCAGGTAAATAATTATCTCTTTATAAAAGTTGGCAGTAAAACTGACATTATTTTGTGAAATATTGTTCACTTCCACTATAACCTTATATAAACAACAATTCGATATAAGAGTAGGCTGTAGTGCCGCTGTCCAGACAGCATTTTCCTCACAGTACACTGTATTATCTCTTTATAAAAGTTGGCAGTAAAACTGACATTATTTTGTGAAATATACACTTCGATTATAAACTTATATCAACAAAATGGCAGTTTGATTTCGAGATAAAAGTAGGCTGTAACACCTCTGTTCAGGAGCATTTTCCTCACAGTACACTGTATTGTGTATGCCCATATTCTTGAGCCCAGTCGGTGTAGAACAGTAGGACGTTCAACTTCATTTCATTTCATTTATTATTGACAGGCTGACTCAATGACATACCTTGTGATTCCACAAACGACTAGACTATCACAGGCCCCTAATGTTTTTAGGTACAACTAAAATCATTATTCCCAGGTCTGTGTATATTTACCCAAGGACAAGGTGGGGCGAGAAAAACAGATACGAGGCCAACCAAAATATAGCACCACTGGACCCTAGACATACGCCAACTCTCACCGCCAAGTATCGACTTGAGTAATTTTATGGTCGAAAATGTCAGTATGATTGAAAAAAAATTCTGGATCGAGCAGTGTCCTACAAGGCCTTGTATCTCATACCAGGCCACTTAGTCCCTGTATTTACGCTACTGTTGATAATCAGAATTGTAACATGCTCAAGACACTGTTGATTGGACAATAACACCCCTCTGTTTTAGCAAGGCGAATACCTGCGTATAAATATTACAGTGTACTTTTTTCATTTTGTGCTCAACCATCTTCCTCAACTCAAGTCTTTATTGATAATATCGTCAGGAAATATTCTGCTCAAATGACCATCACACTATTTTCAAACTTCATCCTTTATCCAAACACATCTCTGAAATATAATGATCTCAGGACATGTCTATTGGACAATAACACCCCTCTAAATGCCAAACAGGAGATGTTTATCTCCAAAATGAAATATGAAATGAAAAAGGGTTTGAGCCGTCAGTGCATAAAATTAGGATGTTAAATCCCATTTCATTTCGTTTCCTTTCCAAATAAGAAATTATATGTTTTTGTTATTTTGTAAAATGTTTTAATATGAAAACAGTATTTTGATGTAATTTGTATTTTGATTTATAATTACAGAATGCTATTGAAGGTAAAATGCAACATGCCCAAGATTGGTTGAAAGATCCTAAAGCCTTAGTTGGCAGTGCTGGTATGTTATGTTTAAATATTGTGGTTCGCAAACTCTTTTCATTCATGGACAAAATCATAAGCGAATGAGCACCCCCGCCCCCTTCCCTCTGGTGTCGGGCAAAACAATTTTTTTTCAGGCAACCATCAAATATTTTTTTGGGTACTGGCTAAAGGATGAAAGACATAAAATTTTAATGGATATAAAATATGAAAATTATTCCATCCCGCAAATTGAAGTGGCCAAAATCTGGGACTTTTACTGGCCATTGGGTGGGGTGATGCAATACCCAATCGGAGTTCTGAGTTCACACAATTCTGATTTTGATTCAGGGTGTCTAGTTCTTAAACTCAAACTGCAGTTCCAGAAAACTCGCTCCGCTAGGCGCTACTTGCCTTTATTATTTTTTTCAAGATTTTACTACGGTTATTTTGTGGCAAAGTTATGTAGGTTCATTTATCGACCCTTTTTTGGGGCGAAAATGATACAGCTTTTGCTAATTACCAATTTCTGGGAATTATTAATCTTTCTGTTTCCATGGAAACAAATGTGACATAGTTTTTGGAATACAAGAGCTTGGGCTGTTAATGGCTGGGCAATTCATTGGTTTAGTTTAGGAAATTAATGTTATTTTAATTTCTGCAGGTGATAAAGCTCTTCGTAATATTTTGGAAGATGCTAGAAAGATAGCCGACCGTTGCACAAACCCTGGAGATCGTGACACCATTTTAAAATGTGTTGGTGACTGCGAATCAATGGCCAATGCTCTGTCAGAACTTCGTATCCAAGGAAAGGTAAGAACAAAACTAATTGAATAATATTCCTGGAAATAAAGCACCTGTCATAGACATTGTCAGGTACAAATTCAGACAAACCCACTGGTACCTGTCATTTTGTCCGGCACAGGTTTGGCCAAATGGTTAAAAGGTCTGTCATTGGGTCAACTGGCGTGGTTTCGATTCCCCGGTTGTATGTGACAAGGAGGAGGGTTGAAAATTGTGGGTTTTCTCCAGGTCCTCCTGTTTTTCCCCATTGCTAAAGATGCCTACGCGCAAGCGAATTATTGAAATAAAATTAAACGATATGTTAGTCCCGAAATGACCTAGTTTGTATCAAGTGGATGTTAAACCCCATTTCTCTCTCTCTCGGTTTTGTAAATGATGTACATCAAGCAGACAATAGAAGTGGACAATATATAACAGAAATATTTATTATTATGTATTTATATTTCCAGGGTAACAGTCCCCAAGCTGTTGGACTAGCCAGAGAACTACAGAATAAACTCGACACCTTACAGAACCTCACACATCGTGGTATTATGAACACAGAAAGAAGTGGTGTTCGTAAACCAGCTCCAACTGTTGACGGAAAGATTGAACAAGCTCGGCAATGGTTAGCTAATCCTGGTATTAATGACAATGGTCTAGGTAAGTGTATCCAGTCTGCTAGTCTTGGATATATGAGTCACAGTGGCTCTGTTAATATATGGACATGCCACTTTTTCCATCATGGGGGCCACAGAGGTTAAGAGAGGAAGACGCTGGCTCCCTGCATTGGCCGAGAAAGTTCATCAGGATTTGCCGAGGTGGTTTCCCCTTGTCAGTGGTGCAGGAAGGTGGGACTGAAAAGGAGAGTCGTAGCAAAACAGTAGGATGTTAAACCCCATTTCATTTCATTTTCATTTCCCATCGTTCATGTACACAAAATGCTGCTGTTAGTAACCAAAAGGTCTGGGTTTGATCCCTGTGTTGGTCATAAAACTTCCTCTGTATTTCCATTCTGGTTTATGGGGTTAGATGGGCGAATGGTTATCGCGTGCGCTGTATCATAAGGTCTGTCATTAAGTCAACTGGCATGGTTTCAATTCTCCGGTTGTACGTGACAAGGAGTAGGGTCGCCTGTCCACCCTCATGGGTTTTCTTCTGGTCCTCCGGTTTCCTCCCACAGCTATAGAACCCTTCGCGCAAGCCAATTATTGAAATAAAATTTAACCATGTGTTAGTCCCGAAATGACCTAGTTTGTGTCGAGTGAGGTTAAACCTCTCCCTCTCACTTCTGGTTTGTGCAGGATGGAGAAACCGAATCTCTGTGGTAACATTTTAAAGCTCCCATGACAATTAGAATTGAAATAGAGGTAGGCTAAATTCACCTTATAGCACACAGCGTGGCTTATATTGTTGTCTCAATTAGCCCGGATGAAAAATAAAAGTAGGTCGTTAAACCCCATTTTATTTCATTATAGGTGAGCAAGCCACACGATTGGTTGTAGCTGAAGGTCGAAGGGTTGCACAATGCTGTAGTGGACCACAACGTCAAGAATTATTAAGATCGTGTGATGAGGTTGAAATTCTAACCAATCAGCTTTCAGAGATGTGCAAAAAGAACCAGGTATGAAAATATTCCAAATTGTCAGTGGACGTCAAACAGAAAGATTTCACATGGATTTTCTAGAAGAAAGTTTTGCAGTGTAGTTTATTATGTTCCAACCTCAACGATGAGGATTGGGTGTAAATATTGTCCAATAGATGATGAATATCAGCCAATTAGATTGCTACAATCATTTGTAATTCGAGTTTAGATGGTCGAATGGTTAGCACCTACACGTTATATCATAAGGTCTGTCATTGAGTCAACTCGCATGGTTTCCATTCCCCAGTTTTACAGGACAAGGAGTAGGGTTGCCTGTCCAATCTCATGGGTTTTCTCCAAGTAGTCCGGTATCCTCTCACTGCTAAAGACCGCTACGTGCAAGCAAATTATTTTTTTTAAAAATTGAACCATATGTTAGTCCCGAAATGACTTAGTTTGTGTCGAGTGCATGTTAAACCCATTTTCCTCTTTCTCTTTCTCTCTCTCTCTCCCCCCCCCCCACCTTTGTAATTCCTTTTTCTACAATAACATTGTTTGGAATTCCTTTCCTTGGAATTACTGTTAAACAGTAATTCTATACGCCATGTTATGTATAGTTTTATGATATTTTTTAATATTTGTTTTTCAGGGAAATAGTCCTCAAGCTGCTGCTGTTGCCAGACATATGTCTGATAAACTACAACACCTGAAGATTAAAATAAGAGATGCTCTTGTTAGTCAGGTAAATCACTACTTTCATTTTATTTGTTCTAAATGCTATAAATACTTGAGTACTGGATTACTTTTGCTTCTTGTCCCATTTTTGCCAATAAACAACAATACCCTAAGGTTTCTGAATGTGATGCAGGACGGAGGGCCTGACAAGGACAGCTGTCTAGTCGTTCAAATGGGACGAAAAACCGAGGTCCCATGTACATATTGGCGTGCACGTAAAAGATCCCTTGGCAGTTGGAATTCGATATAAGAGTAGGCCGTAGCGCCGCTGCCCGGGCAAAATTTCCCTCATAGCATACTGTATGGCGTATGCCGGTCTTCATTAGCCCAGTTTAGGAGCAGAACAGTAGGACGTTAAACCCAATTTCATTTCTGAATATCATTTAAGGGCTTTTAAATCAATTATATTATGAAAGATGAATCTGTAAAAGGTATACCAGTCCAGATATGGATAAGTTCCATTCAGATATGTTGAATTGAACATCTGTCAACATTGGCATCATCTGTAAGCATTAAAAAGGACATGTTTATAAACCTTCATCATCTGAATATTTTCATCAGTCTCTTTTTAATTCAATTGAATCCAAGACGACAGTTTTACTACTGATTATATTTTGGGGTTATTTTCTTAAACATACATTATGACGTCACATTAATAATGACGTCATTGTATTAATCATATTAAACATACATTATGCAAGAGGTAAATCTGCCTATTACACGTCTTTCTTTAGGCCTGAAATGTTATATAAACTATTAATTAGACATTAATTAACAAAACAAAACCATAATCGACTCTCGATGGCATCGGATATTCGCGATTTTAACTAGATTAAAACAGTTCGCCATAAAAAGGGAGGCTAAGTCCCGATTATACCAGTACCCTGGTTACCACTGTGCACACATCTTGTCAAAACTACAAACAATGATAACTTGGCTGAGAATGAAGTAATTTGAATGAAATTTTCAATATTTTCTTTTTTATCATCTATTTTTGAATTATTATAGCAAGAATGACCAACTCTTTATTAAACTCTTAAAGATACATTATGGGAGATTCGATAACGAGTTGGCAGTTCTCACTATAATAGTTAAAAACTAGATAACGTAAAGGCAATTTGCTGAAAATTTCAGTCAAATTGATCCACTATGAACCTAAAACTAAGCGAATGAAATTTCTGCCTAGCCTCGGTCATCATTACTAAAGTCAGTACGATAAACAGCATAGTCTCAATTATCTATTTAATCGTTAAATCGTGAAGGAAAGTTATGCAGTAAATTGGCTCATAATCCACTAAAGATCGTAGGCTAGCGATGCCATCTAGAGTTGATTATGGTCTGGATAAGTTAATTAATGTCTAATTAATAATTTAGATAACATTTCAGGCCTAAAGAAAGATCTGCAATAGACAGATTTAGCTCTTGCATAATGTATGTTTAACTAATGTATCTTAATTAAATGCTAGATAATTGATTTGAGTATATTTTAGCAAAGATTAAGCCAGTATTGACAACTTTAAATGGTTGCTTTTATTCAACCACTAAGACTTATTGGGTTTTATTTTGTACTTGTACAGGTTGCTGAAGATTTCACGGATATTTCAACACCATTAAAACAATTAACAGAAGCTGCCGTGGCGCCACCAGGTACACCTGGTCGTGACGCTAACTTTGATGACAGAGCTAGGAACTTCCAAGCCCATGCCTGTAAATTGGCCGATACTGCCACCCTGGTTGCAACAGCTGGTGGATGTCGTAATAAGAAAACGGTTGAAGAAATCTTCGCTAATTCTAAACAGGTTGGTACTATTGGCATAGATCTCTTAATGATACATTATAATGAATTTCAATTTGTTCTTTCTTATGATGGGGTGGGGTGGGGGATCGAGTGATCTGATACATGTGCTTTATATCATAAGGTCTGTCATTACATCAAGTGATGTGGTTTTGTCTGTCCAACCTCTTGGGTTTTTCCCAGGTCCTCCGGTTTCCTCCCACTGCTAAAACCTCTATGCGCAAGTGAATTATTGAAATAAAATTGTACCATATGTTAGTCTCGAAATGACCTAGGTTGGGTTGATTTTAAACTCTCTTCCCCCCTCCCTAATATAAGGGTGTTCCAAGCCACAAAAGCAAGACATCATAGATCTGAAGTATGAACTGGTTTGCAGACATACCCATTCTTAGCCGAATCTTTGCTTCCCCATTATACGAGGGTTGGATGGCCGAATGGTTAGCACGTGCGTGCTGTATCATAAAGCCTGTCATTTGTGTCAACTGGCGTGGTTTCGAATCCCCGGGTGTACGTGACAAGAAGTAGGGTCGCCTGTCCAACCTCGTGGGTTTTCTCCGGGTCCTCCGGTTTCCTCCGACTGCTAAAGACCCCTACGCACAAGCGAATTATTGAAATAAAATTAAACTATATGTTGGTCCCGAGATGACCTAGTTTGTGTCAAGTGGACGTTAAACCCCATTTCTCTCTCTCTCTCCCCAATATACATATCCCTATTGATCAAAAAACAGAGAAATTAGTTATCATTGTAACGGATTTGATTATACAAAATTCCAGTAATAATTTTCCATATTATTTATTTAGATCAAAGATTTAACTCCCCAAGTGATTAATGCGGCTAGGGTATTATTCTGTAACCCTGGTAATCAAGCAGCCCAGGAACATTTTGACCTCATTAAGAAACAATGGACTGATAATATGGAACGTCTGAGATTCCTGGTAGATGAAGCTGTAGACTCAGCTGCACTTATCAAAGCTGAAGGTAATATTATCTAAATCTGTCTAGATCTTGATATGATGAACATTTAAGTTGTAAGTGTTTGATTTCTTTACCTGGAGACAAATCTGGTAAGGAACACAGTTGAGTTGTTAGAATGACAGGAACAACTAAGATTCTGTATACGCACAGCTTGTTCAATCAATATTTCTCTTATAGCACACACTGGTCTTCATTAGACGGGGGGATCACGTGGCTCGCTAGCCTGGAGGTCGGGTGTTCGATCCCTGCATTGGACGAGAAAGTTCATTCAGATTTTCCGACGTGGTTTCCCCTTGTCAGTGATGCAGGATGGAGGGCCTGACAAGGACAGCTGTCTAGTCGTTTGGATGGGATGAAAAACCGAGGTCCTGTGTACACTTTGGCGTGCACGTCAAAAAATCCCTCGGCAATTGAAATTCAATATTAAAGTAGGCCTTAGCGCCACTGCCCGGGCAAAATTTCCCTCATAGCACACTGTATGGCGTATGCCCGTCTTCAATAACCCAGTTTAGGAGCAGAACAGTAGGACGTTAAACCACATTTCATTTCGTTTCATTAGACCAGTCTGAGCAGAACAGTAGAACATTAAACCTCATTTCATTTCATTTCATAGCACACTGCTTGGCCTAGGCATGTCTTCAAATGTCCAGATCAAGCAGAAAAGTAGGATGTTAAACCCCATTTTAGATCATTTTAAGACTGGTTTCAATGAGGAACAAAAACTACATGAATAAAATTCTACTTTTGAACACCATTATATTTTCCTCTGCTGAATTTATTACCCTGAAAGTATAGTTGATGATCTGTTTATACCATGTAATTCGAGGTTATGTGAGGGATATTAATGAGGTCTCTTTGCTTCCGACCTTGTTTAGTCTCCGGAACATATCTCATTATATAAACAAACCACTAGGAAACTTTCTCAGATTTATTAAATTTTGTGTTTCCATATATTTGGTTTTTTTCCTGCTATAGAAATACTGAGTTGTCTTGTTTCTTTTGTATTTTGTCATTGATGCAAACTAATGGAAATATTTTGTTTTGTTTTTGACAGAGGAAGCCATTAATAAAGATACAGATAGAATTGAGGAGGGAATACGATCGGGAGATGTTCCCAAGATTGTTAATAACACAGGTGACATCGCACGAAGAGCCAATCGTATTTTACAAGTTGCCCAACAAGAGGCAGAGAACAGCGAAGATCCACAGTTCTTGGCTCGAGTGAATGCTGCTTCACAAAATCTCAAACAGTGTAAGTACAAATGGGTAGAAATTTGACAATGGGTGTCTTGGTGGAATAGTGAGTAAGTAGGGAGCTAGCACATTAAGCCCTTCACATAATATTTCAACACTACTGACCCAGCTTCAGAGCCTATCAGATTCCTCGATCATCGCCAATACCAAGTCTCTCATTTTCCAGCTAAAATCTCTTAAGTGATAATCTAGTTGTAAAGTTCAAGGTTCACTTAATGTCCAGGTGCAGTGGTTTGAATTCATGTGTGTCGATTTCATGTGTGGTTCAAATTCATGTGTGTCAAATGGCGACTGGTCTAGTGCAGAAAGCAGGGCATTAAACCCCATTTCATTTCATTTTTACTGGTCTAATTATGTTTTATATTTCTTCATATTTTAGCGATTGCACCCATGTTACAGAATGCTAAAAATCTGGCCATGAATCCACGAGATGCGAATGCAGCTGCTAATTGGAGGAAATCAAATCAAGCTGTAAGTTTAACATTAAATCAATCTTAAATCTAACTCAATGCTTAGTTAAATATTTTGACGAGACATTCTTCAGTATTGTGTCTTAATTAAAACAAGTCTCCATTAGCCCAGTCGGACAGAAACTGTAGGACGTTAAACCCCGTTTTATTTCTTAATTAATATGTACCCAGATTCTCTTTATTGATCATCTGGCCCCAAGTTCACAAAGCATTCTCAGACTTAAGTTAAGAATTTACTCAAATTTCAATCACTGTTTATGAGAAATATCTTTTATCAAGAAGCACTAAACTTTGCACATAGTTTCTTATTGATGTATTTGATATATTAAAACAATAAAAGTTTTATAAAGGGCTATATTTTAGTAAAAATAAGGCAAACAATTTCGGTAAATTCTTAAATTCTGAGAATGCTTTGTGAACTCAGGGCCTTTATTGGTCATCTGATATGTAGGTAATTTAATAATGTATTTTTAGAACACCTTTACTCTACCAATGGGGAGTCGATGTGACTATCTTATAGGGATTTTGAGATTGAATTCTCTAATGCTAATTTGTCGGATCTAGACTTCAAGGATGTTTCTCTATACATGCTATTAGATTTCTTGTCCGAAAAAATTATATTTCATATTGTTTAGGGGGGTTGGATGGCCGAATGGTTAGCACGTGCGCACTGCGTGCTGTATCATAAGGCCTGTCATTGAGTCAACTGGCGTGTTTTCGAATCCCGGTTGTACATGACAAGGAGTAGGGTCGCCTGTCCAACCTCGTGGGTGTCCTCCGGGTCCTCTGGTTTCCTCCCACTGCTAAAGACCCCTACGCGCAAGCGAATTATTGAAATAAAATTAAACCATATGTTAATCCCATAATAACCTAGTTTGTGTCGAGTGAACGTTAAACCCCATTTCTCTCTTTCTCTCTCATTGTTTAAAAATTGTAATCAAGGTATGAAGATTTATTACATTTTATTACATCTATATTGTGTAAGTTTATTACATGTATATTGTGTATTGTGTAAGCTTATTACACCTATATTGTGTATTGTAGTTATTAGATGCCGTGGGACAAGTAAGACAGTGTGTAACAGAACATACTAAAGATGCTGTGGAGAACTATCCCCCACCACCTCCCGATCTATCTCAACTTCATATCGCAGGTAAAATATTCACCTATAATTTACACCTGATTCTGTCTGTTTATATTATTCATTAACAATGACTGGCTTTTACTCAAATTTCACTTGTTTATATTCCAAAACCGAGGTCCCATGTACACACTGGTGTTCAAGTAAAAGAACCCTTGGCAGTTGGAATTCGATATAAGAGTAGGCTGTAGCTGTATGGCTATGTTTTGGACTTGCACTGGTTGTAGGGTTTGGTATCTCGCAGACCGGCAACAAGAAACCAGGTGATAGTTTTGTAAATAATACAAGCACAGTGGTCTTCTACAGTGCCGAACACACGCAAGTGACGCATAAGTCTCACGCCCGGGTTTACAAAAAAAATCAATTCGTTACCCATCACAATTTAGACAATTGTTGACCAGACTATCAACATTTATGACTCTAGATGATGATAGAAAATATTTCGGGGGAAAATTTGACAGGAATTTGAGTAAAAGCTTTGATATTGACAGTGAATACTGAACTGCTTCAGGACCAAGAACTGTTTTTAATGATTAGATTTATTTAACATGCTTAGTAGACTCATTGATTAGATTCTGTTATCTTATTTTTCAAACATTATCATTTAAGGAATTCACAGTTTTATTTTAATTCTTTAAATTTTCTGTTATTAGATTTATTTAATTATCCTGTTTCAATGGCATTTAGTTATTGAACTGGAATATACATGTCCCAATTACTGTTTATTACTGAGCGATGTTTCGACTACGTTTCTCTAGTCTTTATCAAGAGAGAGAGAGAGAGAGATGGGGTTTAACATCCACTCGACACAAACTAGGTCATGTCGGGACTAACATATGGTTTAATTTTATTTCAATAATTTGCTTATGCGTAGGGGTCTTTAGCAGTGGGAGAAAACCGGAGGACCTGGAAAAAACCCATGAGGTTGGACAGGCGTCATGTACAACCGGAGCTTCGAAACCAGGCCAGTTGACTCAATGACAGGCCTTATGATACAGCGTGCACATGCTAACCATTCGGCCATCCAACCCCCCATTCTTTATCAAGCAATGCTCAGTAATAAACAGTATTCCGTAGAATCATGTGGTTTCCCCTTGTCATTGGTGTAGGATAAGAGGTCCTGAGACGGACAGCTGTCTAGTTGTTAGGATGGGACGAAAGTCCCATGTACACATAGTGCCGCTGCCTGGGCAAAATTTCACTCAAATAACCCCAGACTTGTCTGAGAACCACAATATTTTTATTTTGTATGGCCTCAGTCATATGGTCTTATGATTTTCATATAAGTAGATGATTTCTTCCTTGAATGTTTAATACTTGAAAAATAAGATTGTGGTAGTTCTATCATTTTCATTATCATCTTTTGCCGTTAGTTTTGAATTATTATGGACTCCCATCAACATTGGTAATTTTATCAACAAATATGAATTTTAACTCTCATTAAAAATTATTTATTTTTAGAAATTTAATTTTTTTCTTTATATTTAATTTCTGAACCATATTTTGTAAAGTCCACGTGAGCACTTAGTCATGGAGGAAGTTGTGCTCTGTAAAAATGTACAATAATAATAATTAATGCTTCTTATTCAATTTAACTGAAGTTTTCATGAATTTTAATCGAGAAATTTTATAAATAAATACCAGGTATACAAATTTTCTTATAGCTCCGAGACAGTATTCAGCTCCGAAACAATACTCAGCTCCTCCTCGATTTTATTCGACGCCCCCACCTCCACAACAATGGGTAGCTCCACCTATGCAACCAAGAGTGCAATCATCGCAAATTTATCACATTCCTGCTGCGTCATTGCGTCAGCCAGCCCCTATTTCACTCGTCGTAGATGTAGATAGAAATGCCGGTAGAACCGTTTTAGCTAGAGGTAGAGTTAACGCAAATGGTTGTTGCAAATTGTTTTTGATTGGTTTGTGAGATTGAGGCATTTTATTTGAATTTTGATGAAAGAAGTCTGAAATTCCCTGCATAGTTCATTTGTATCGTGTTAAAATACCCTTCCAAATATTGGTATCCCTTTCCAAGATCCTACACTGAGCTGAATTTTGTTTTGTTTGTATCGGTATTTGCGATCTTTTTTTTTCTCTAAACACCAGTATTTTATGAATCTTTCGATTGTTTCATTTTTTTCATCATTTAATATTCATGCGTGCTGTGGTATTAATCTCCATTATTTAGATTTGCTGTGTGAAGTTGTGAATATTTTTATAAAGAAACATTGAACATTTGATTTCATTTGACATTCCTCTTAGAAGTTTAAATATCTGTTCACTAGTGTCTGTATATTTCCAGTCCATTGAATAATTTAATAAATGTTTAACCCTATTGTTACTGGTCACTGGTCAATATGGTAACTTTTTATACGCCCACAGTTTTATGTGTATGTATATTGTCGTCACCCTTGTGGATACTCTACAGATCACAATTTTATCCGATTTTGATGAAACTTGAAATACTTGTTTATAACCCATTGATCTTGGTTCCTGTTGTTATTCGCACATATGGGACTGTAACTTCCTGGATAATGACCCCTAATTGAACGAAAAATCACATTTTTAGCGGGTGGTCCCTCTAGAGGTCACAATTTTTATCCAATTATAATGAAACTTTAAATACATGTTTATAACCCATTGATCTTGGTTCCTGTCGATATTCATGCATATCAGACCATAAAATCCTGGATTATGGCCCCTAATTGAAAGAAAAATCATGTTTTCAGCAAGTGGTCCTTCTAGACGTCACAATTTTTATCTGATTTTAAAAAAAAGTTTAAATAGATCACCGTTACACCATTATGACGATTGAGTTCGAATTTCGGAGCTCCTTTAGTTTAGGATAAATTCCTGGTATAAACTAATGTCCTGAAGTACCCTGCACTGAACTCATAATTCAAAAATCATTCTAGTTCTTACGTGGAACGCTTATTCCAGTCAATGCAAGCTTTGTCTTGTAGACAGTCACCATGAAAATAGATAGCATCAACGAAATGAAATAGGATCTCTGTGTTTTAATCAGATTGATTTTACAAGGAATTCAAACTCCCTAAAATTGGATCCCGAGATTTTAACCAAATCAAAATACATTCTATAATCATAATCAATATTTATCTTCACCTACCTTTTGTTGTTTTTACTATATACCTGGGCATTTCATTAAATACCTATTACTTGATGAAATGTCTCTTTGTTGTTCTCCGTATTACCTGGGCATTTCATTAAATACCTGTCACTTGATGAAATGTCTCTTTGTTGTTCTCCGTATTACCTGGGCATTTCATTAAATACATATCACTTGATGAAATGTCTCTTTGTTGTTCTCCATATTAGTTATTACCTGGACATTTCATTAAATACCATCACTTGATGAAATGGCTCCCTGTTGTTCTCCGTATTACCTGGACTTTTCATTAAATACCTATCACTTGATGAAATGTCTCTTTGTTGTTCTCCATATTAGTTTTTACCTGGACATTTCATTAAATACCATCACTTGATGAAATGGCTCCCTGTTGTTCTCCGTATTATCTGGGCATTTCATTAAATACCTATTACTTGATGAAATGTCTCTTTGTTGTTCTGCGTATTACCTGGTGATTCATTAAATACGTACCACTTGATGAAATGTCTCTTTGTTTTCGTATTATCATATCTGCGTGTTATCATTTGTTGTTTTTTAATTAATCATCATTTTGTGTTATTGTTTGAAGTTCCAGAGGACTATCCATCAGATGACCACCTGGAGCTCATCGAGGAAGGTACCAAAAACAATACACTTTCATACATTTACTTTATTTTAATCACATTTTCATTTTATTGGTTATTTTGATTTATTTATTAATTTTTTTCACTTCTTTATTGTCTTGAAATCTTGCATCAGTTGTAACCATTCTGCCCAAGAAGTTATTTTTGAATTAATCCAATTTCTAGTACACTGAATTATCCCTGCCCCCCTCCACCACCGCTCTCCGCAGCATTCTAATATTTTGCACTGGAGAGAGAGACGGAAACAGAGAGATCCACCCAACACAAACTAGGTCATTTTGGGACTACCATATGATTCAATTTTATTTCAATAATTCCCTTGCATGCAGGAGTCTTTAGCAGTGGGAGAAAACCCACAAGTTGAACAGGCGGTCGTATTCCTTGCCACATACAACCAGGGAATCGAAAACCACACCAGTTGATTCAATGACAAACCTTATGATGCAACAGGCACATACGGTTTAACCATTCAACCATCCAACCCTGCACACTGGACTAGAAGCCAATGTGGCTTCAGGGATTAGCCCACTAGCTAGGAGGTCCAGGGTTTGATTCCTCTGGAACTTTACCCTTTTCTGTGGTTCAGAACTGATGGCCTGACCAGGAAAAGGTTTCAGATAATGCAAACAAAGAATATTTACCAATGAACAGGTTGGTGTGCAACAATGACAGTTGCAATAGGAGAAGAGTACGGGAGAAAGCTCCAGGCAAAAATCTCCCTTGGTGTATACGTGTCTTCATTAGCCCAGTTGGTGCAGAAAAGTAGGATGTTAAGCCTCACAGTTTATACATTCATTGATACATTCTCGACTTACTGGAAAAGTCCTTCCTTAATTATACTTTAGATAATATAATTTTATATTTTTTATATTGATTGATGCAGGTTTTCTAAGGAAATTTATTTTTTATTTTATTTTATTTAATTGATATTTTGTTTTGTTTTAGAACACATATTTGTTTTGTTTTGTTTTAAATATGGGATGGGTCAGTTTTAGGATTGGATAAAAAAAAAATATTTTATTTCATGGTCATATATATTTTTTTTTTTTTTAAATTATAATCTTTATTTAAAAAGCAATATATATATATATATACAGTATTCGAACCATTTTACATAATTAAATTTTTGACTTTTTTTTTTTTGACAAAGATTTTCTGAATGTTTGAATTAATTTATTTATGTTCAATTTTGTTACAGCTAGTTTGCAGAATGCACAATATAGTGCCCCCCCTCCACCACCTATTCCCCCTCCCCCACAAGAAGAATTTGGCTTTCATCAACAGTATGGTCTACGAGGTTCAAAGTTCAGATTAATTATTAGCTTGCGATGTTCTTCCCTTTACCCAAATTTAACAAAATTTTAATTTCTTTAAACGGAAATTTAACATCTTGATTTTTTAAAAGTTTTATTTTATTGTTTAAATTTTATTTTATTTGTTTAAGGATTCTATGTACTGTACTAATCAAACCAGGGACCTGTTTCACGAAATTTTAACTAAGATAAAATCCAAATTTGAGTAATTTGATTGGATAATAATCGATTCATTTTCGTGCTTAGCCAATCAAAATTGAAGTATCTACTAAACTTTGGATTTTATCTTTAGTTAAGATTTTGAGAAACGGGGCCCAGAGCTGTACTTGAAATTATTGTATTAAAATTAACAGGAAAATGATAGTGCATTGTGTAGAGATATAATACTAATTAATTAACTAATTTATTAATTGTATGAAACTGTGTAACTGTAAGTTCTAACAATAATTAACTGTGTCCCGGTAATGTTGTGCCTGCAATGTTAACAGAAATAATGTAACAAAATTTTCCTTAGTCAGAATAACTATTCAAGTCGCCAATCCCTGACATGTATTTTCAAGACAGTATTTAACTTTTCAGACTTTAATCCAAACTAAAAATGTACTCAAGTTGATTATCTAACATTTAATTAAGAAAAAAAAAAATCAGTATACCAACGTTAGTAGAAGCCAATTAAAGGTTTATAAATGGCGCGCTTGATTACGGGAGAGAATACTCTTCTTAACGTCTCCGAAATATATAACTACATGTAGCTATTTTCCATAAGTATGTGTTTATTACACTACTCCATGGGTTCCAAACCTTGGGATCACGGAGCACTTTTCTTGTGGTCATGGCGAACTCCTCTGTTTCCATAAGTATGCGTTTATTGCTCCATTCCCAGGGTTCCGAATTTTGGGGGTCACGGAACATTTTTCGTGGGGGACTACTCTGAAATTTTTGAAAAAAAGCTTTGTTATTATGAAAAGCATATGAATCTCTGATCTATACACCTCTTGCCACATTGCCAGTCGTCTTTCTTCTCTCGTGCTCACAATGTTTCCCTAGTCTTCCATTACAACATTTTGATCTGTAAATAATGATGATGTTTCATAGTAAAAAGTGACCTTGTTCTTAGAGGGGTCGCGTTCAGATAATGGTTTCTAGAATGGGGTTGGAACCAACAAAATGTTGGAAACCACTACTCTATCCAATTACAAATGCCTCTAAAACATTATTTCTTTATGGAGTGGTGCCTTGGTGTACAATTTTTATTGTACAGAATTGAATCACAAGTGCTTTGAACATACTCTCTGTATGAAATAGCGCTCTATAAATAACATTATTATTATAATTATTATTTGATTTGGATATTAGGAACTAGTCGATTTGTTATCTTATTCTAATAAATCTGTAGACATCAAAGTTTAATTTAGAAAAGAGACGTATGTTTAATGTATGCTTAATTCTAATATAATTATAATAGTATCATTAAATCAATGCTTATTGTTCCTGAATCAGGAAGAACCTGGCTTTTCAAACATGATAAAACACAACACTTTATGGAATACAATTACTGAATTTATTCGGTTAAATACTTGTGTAGAATCAAAACACTTTACTGATTTATAATAGGGGCGACAACAAAACACGCTACCAATATTTGTAAGATTTGGATTAAAATTATATAATATCATAAATATATGGGGATTATATAACAGCTGTATGTTTGCATGGTACGATTTGTATTCCATAAATCTTTGTGTTTTATTTAATGAGACCAATTACTAAAATGGATCAATATTAAAGATGCATTATGTTAGAACCAAAGCTGCCTCTTGCCGGTCTATTTTATGGCTTCAAACGTTACAGGAGCGACATTGACTCGGTGAGACTTCAGCTCGCTAACCGTCGTTGGCCAAGAAAGTTCATCTGTATCATGTAATTTGACAGACATTTTCAATATATTCATTTTGAATTATCTATTTTTGAACCAATTTTGGCAAGAATGGCCAGCTCGTTATCGAAATCTTACATAATGGCCACCTCGTTATCAAAATCTTACATAATGGCCAGCTCGTTATCAAAATCTTACATAATGGCCATCTTGTTATCACAATCTTACATAATGACCAGCTCGTTATCGAAATCTTACATAATGGCCATCTTGTTATCGCAATCTTACATAATGACCAGCTCGTTATCAAAATCTTACATAATGACCAGCTCGTTATCTAAATCTTACATAATGGCCACCTCGTTTTTGCGTGGCAAGGAGTAGGGTAGCCTGTCCAACCTCGTGGGTTTTCTCCGGGTCCTCCGGTTTCCTCCCACTGCTAAAGACCCCTACGCGCAAGCAATTATGTAAATAAAATTAAACCATATGTTAGTCCCGAAATGACCTAGTTTGTGTCGAGTGGACGTTAAACCCCATTTCTCTCTCTCTTTCTCTTACATAATGCATCTTTAACCAACCTAATATTTTATCAGTAAAATTTGCAGAATACCTGCTATTGCAAGAACCAAGGTCGGCTCGGCTGTTTCATTGTTTTCCTTAGTCCTCGTTATTAACTAATAAACCTTATATATTTTTTTTTTCATTTTTCAGATTTGGATCAATTAGAATATTATTTTCGTTACTCACAGTTCATTTTTAAATACCAATGTTCCATTATTTTATATTGTTTTTAATGATATACTAATTATTTGAATATTGTGGTTCACTAATTGATTTTTTTTAATATTTTGGGTTAACTAACTGATTGGTGATTGATCCCAATTCGTGGATTTCTTCTTTGATTGGCATTTAGTACTGAAAACAAGGTACAATTTTATGGATACACAATTACTGAGTTTAATACTAAGCGACGTTTCGACGAGGATACTCTCGTCTTTATCAAGCAAATGATACGGGTATGTGAATAGTGTATCCATAATTGTGTATCCATAAAATTGTACCTTGTGTTAATTCTTGGATTGTTTGGTTCTATGTTTGGGAGTACAAAATGGCTCCTGAAATTGTAGGGAAGCCCTAGATGGTCTTGATAATTTAAAATAATTTTTGAAAAGTTTTACACATTATATATTATAGATAGACAGCAGTACCAGTGTTGGTATTTCTTGTCTGACATTTTTACCGAAATTAAAGGGGCATAACTCTATCATAAAGATATTGTTTCTTCCAGCTTCACCATATTCTTCCATCAATACTTTTATTATCATTATTTTGTATCAAATATTTGTTTGAAAATCGTTGGATCTTTCTCTTGATTGGGAGATTGGATCAAATATTGTCAGACTCTCCAGCATTACAGGTCTGAAAATAATCACAAAATAAAAGACATCATTAATATCAGAGAGAGTGGGAGAACACGTGGGGAATCAAAACCACGCCACTTGACTCAATGACAGACCTGATGATCTAAACATTAATATGATGTTGTTGATGTATGTATTATAGATAGTGCTCCACCCCGTCCACCACTACCACATGAGATGGCACCACCACGACCACCACCACCAGATACTGATGATGAAGAAGACTTCCCAATACCACAGGCTAATCAACCTATTATGGTAAGATACCTTCCCTGTTCATTTTTCCACCATCAGAAAGACCTTGCTTTTTTCTTCATGCCACTCCTATTATCTGGTAAGATGTACCCCTGCTCTTTCTATCACCATCAGAAAGAACTTGCCTTTCCCTTCTATTCCATTGTAAGATACCTCCCTGTTCTTTCCCTGCCATTCTACTCCTATTATGGTAAGATACCTCCCTCCCCTTTCTTCCAGAGGGGCCTGGGTGTTGGCAGAGAAAATTTGGGGTATTTTTCACAGGTATTTCCAGTCAGTGGTGCAGGATACAAAGCTGGCAAGGAAAAGACACATCCAGTCGTCTGGATGTTACCTAATGTGTTACCATTCTGTTACATTCTATTTTTTAATATACATTTTATGTAAGTATATTTGACTTTGTATGAAAGGATACATTATTATTATTTTTGTGTAGATGGCAGCCCATGCTCTTCATATGGAAGCTAAACAATGGTCCAGTAAAGATAATGAAATTATTACTGCAGCTAAAAAAATGGCCTTGTTAATGGCCAAACTCAGTCAACTTGTAAGGTGAGTTATAGAATTAACTTTATTCTAATTTGTCATTGCATGACTTTTCTGACAAGTGACCCTACTCCTTATAATGCACAAAACCAAGGTCAAACTCATGTTTTGGATAGCTAGGTGGAAGGGAAGCGGGGAGACGACCCCTAGCATCCAATTCATTGAGGTATCTAATCAGAGTGAAATTGTTAGGGTTTCTATATGCCCACATGGAAATATAGTGCTTTAGATCGAAAGGTCCGTCACAGGGTCCCAAGTTTCTCCGGTCTTCCGGTTTCCTGCCACTGCTAAAGACCCATATGCGCAAGCGAATTATTGAACTAATATTGAACCATATATTAATCCCCATCTCTCCGTCTCTGTCTCTCTCTCCCATGTAGTTGCCCATTTGGGTCATTTCGGGACTAACATATGGTTCAATTTTATTTCAATAATGTGCTTGCTTGTGCTTAGGGGTCTTTAGCAGTGGGAGGAAAGAGGAGGACCCAGAAAAACCCCATGAGGTTGGACAGGCGACCCTACTCCTTGTCATGTACAATCGAAGCCATGCCACTTGACTCAACGACAGACCTTATGATACAAGGGGCATGTGTTAACCATTCGGCCACCCAAACTCCCATGGAACCACAGCATATGAGTGTGACCGTGAGGTCCGTCAGATATAACAAGAGTCAGGAATGGTTCTTCAAATCTTTAATACTGGAAACTTATAATAACATTTATCTACATACACTTACATTACCGCGGATAACTGACTAGTACCTTATGCTACTAAGTCAGATAGACCTAAATGACTGACGTATCAAGTACAATCACATATTTAATATGGAATTACTTTTAATCACTTTGCTAGATCAAGTGTTGACATAAATATGCATTGATGTAATAATGTACAATATAAGAAATAAAACAATGGTAAATAAAACAATTAATAGATTAATCATACGATTGGCATGTTCACCAGACGGGCCATATTGTCAGTTACTTTCTATCTATAACAGTTTTATAAACAACAAGGGATTATAATAAATTAACATGTCATTAGAATTACGTAACATTTCACCCTTGGCTAGTCACCTTTTAATAGCACACACACAATTAATGTTTTAAAGGAATAGAATATTTATTGTCCCGAGAGTTTAAATAAATTCAATTTGAAGGCTTTCACTTTTAAAATTAATAATCCATTATCTTTAATATTCAAGATTTAAATTATAACATATAACTACTACAACCTGCACGGTTATATGAGCTTTTTGAACAAATCATATCTGATTTTTTGTATGTTTTATATTATTTCAGAGGTGAAGGTGGTAGTAAAAAGGAATTAATAGAAACGGCTAAACTTATCGCTATGCAGTCAACTGAAGTAACTCGTCTGGCTAAAAAACTAGCCTCTGACTGTACAGACAAAAAAATGAGAAATGTATGTTTGAATCGATTACTGTCAAAAATTTTATTGTTCCATAAATCGATAGGAACTTTGGTAAAAGTAGACACACTGAACTTTGTAGAAGTATTGAACTTCTATTCCCGTTCATTAATTATGTGTGATTTGACTCTATAGACAGAGTGAAGCAACAATTATGCAAAGAACCAATATTGTCTTAAGGACCAAAGTGCTGCAACCTCCAATCCTATCTCAAAATTCCTGTCCCTAAATGTATACTTGTTCGGGTGGGATGAAAAACTGAGGTCCCGTGTACACATTGGTGTACATGGGTAAAATTTCTCTCATGGCGTATGCCCATTTTCATTAGCCCAGTCGGAGCAGCACAGTAGGACATTAAACCCCATTACTTTTCATTTCATATAATCACTGTTAGCAGGCCCGGATCCAGGAGGGGGCGATGTTGCACCCGACGCACCTCCCCCCCCCCCCCATTGTTGGCAAACAATTTTTTGCCCCATATATTCTCGCGGGAACATATCCTTTCCATAACTATAACACGAACCCGAATGTCAATATTATCTGCAACAGGTAAATTTCAACGTTCTCCACGAGTAGTCGTAACTTTCGGTCAATAAACAACCAGTGACATCTTTTTAGTCCTTCTGCTCATATTCTAGTCTATATTTTTATGAGCAGAAGGACTAAAGTGACGTCCGATGAGACTAATAATAAATTTAAATGATATTATCAGTATTTATTTTTATTTCCAGAGTTTATTACAAGTATGTGAAAGAATACCAACAATAGGAACACAGTTAAAAATTCTTTCTACAGTTAAAGCTACTATGTTAGGAGCTCAAGGTATGAAATTTCTTATTTTTTATCAGATTTTCTAAAAACAAATATTCTAGATGATACATTTTTCATAGTGTATATTGTAATCTTAGTTCAGAGTTGAAAAGAAATGGCAATCTTAACTTGTTCTCTTAGCCCATCAAGCTAACGGAAGTAGAACAATGCCAAAAAATATTTCTTTTTATCAGACTTTCTAAAATAAATTCTTGACAATATTTTTTTCATACCGTATATGTGGCCCGCTCCCACGTAAACCAGGCGCTTGTCGCACAACTTCAATTTGTACTACGGGCACAAAAGCATAAACTGTATATATGCCTCCTTGTTGCCGTGAAAGTGCCGAACTCCAGATGATACGACAAATTTAAAAAGAATTGCATTTTTGGAAAGCTTAGGCTGTGGACTATTCAAATATGCTGCCGGCTCTATTTTTTTATAAAAATGACCAAGAGCCTGGTTTTGTGGGAGCAGATCACATATTGTAATCATTTTAGTTTTAAAACAACGAAAAGCTAAACTCCTTTTGTTTTAATTTTTTTAATTTTTTCATATTTTTTTTGTTTTTTATGAATGTCTTAGTAGTTTTAAAACGATGAAAAGCTTAACTTCTTTTTTTCCTTTTGTTATTATTGTAATTTTTATTTTTTTTAAAATTGATATATTTTACTGTGAATAACTATAGAACCCATACCGAGTCCAGATGGCAGTGAAATTGCTACAGGTTCAGTTTATCGTTCAGTTCAAGTGAAACGACAAAAAAATCAAACTTCGTAATTCTACCAAAGTTATGATAATATTAAATTGAAATTTTCTAGAAAACGGTTTTAAAGTATAATATATACATACTTCAAAATTACATTAGAAATCTGTTTTAAGACATTATTTTTATGCCATACATTTTTTGACAATTTTGTATTGAAATCCATTCTTAGATTTAGAAGATTCTAATGCAGAATAAAAACAAAAAAAAAAACATCAAAAATCCCCGATTAAGAAATTTTTGTTGTCTTCATTACCCAGGTTGATGAAAAAAAGTAGACATTGAACCCCCATTGTGTTGATTTATTCATAAATTTTGGTAAATTATGAAGTTTGTTTTTATAAGTTTTCACATTGTTGAGGTTTGCTTTTGAGGAGTGAAATGGTTGGAGAAGTATTTGTCCATGTTTTTGATTTGTCCAGCCTCTCTGTTTGCCAATTTTAAATGGTGCAGTGTCCATGTTCTGTTCAATTGTTATATCTACAGCAACTCTTGTTGGTATTTTTTTTTAATCAGAAAAAAGTATTTACTGTTTTCGTTTGTTTGCTAATATTCCAATCTGATTAAAATACAGATCTATATTTCCTTTCGTTTTTTTTTGTTTTTTTTTATACTTTCTATGGCCTACACTACATGAAGATCTGACCAGTTGTAGTGGAAGGTTGCGTCAGAGGTCATACGAGAGGCTTTTGACATTATGATGTCAGACATTAATTAATCAAGTAGCGTTGATGTTTCTAGTGGTTACCCAAAGTTCTGTGCACCTCACCCCCAAAAACTCACTGTAACAGACCGTTTTATTGGTTAATCCCTCATATCATCCAGAACGCGGATTATATAACAACTCTTCCAGATCCTAGTGTAGTAAAGACAAGTAAAACAAAATTTTGAACTATAATAAACAAAACAAAATAGAATCTGTGTTTTAATCAAATTGTTAAACAAACTACATCAAAAATTTTGAAGCGAAGACCCTGGCTTTTTTTCGCTCAATGATAAGAAGAAAAATGTACCCAAAAAAATTCCAACAATTGTTTTTCTGTTATGTTTGTCCAATGTTGAAGTGTAATTTATTCCCTGATTCTCTCAGATCCGATTCCTAGCCCTGACGGAAGTGAAATAGCCTGTGGTAAAAATATACTTTGGTTTCTGCATGGTTTGTGCCAAAAATAAAATTAGTTAAACCTAAACTGGACGAAATGTCACAAACCAGACTAAAATTCTCTTCGTTAGTTTAACTTGTTCATCTGTTGAACAATTTCCTTTAACTTTATAAACATATTTTTAGTCTCAAAGTCTACCTATGTAGAAGAGTAGGCTTTGATTAAATACAAGCGTTTTAAGTCCTCCTTGCTTTAATCTTTAATATCTTTTTTTTTCTTCTTCTAATTAACAACTGTGTGACTTCTTGATATTAATTCAAGGCCTTTCTTTTAAATTTCGCTAAACCTACAGTATAATCTCATAATCTAACTTGAATTACCAGTAAATTGAAAATAACTTTTTTTCAGTATTAATTAATTAAACATACATTATGCAAGAGCTAAATTTGCCTATTGCAGGTCTTTCTTTAGGCCTGATATGTTATCTAAAATATTAATTAGACATTTATTGTATTTATTAACATGAAAAGAACATAATCAACTCTCAATCCCATCTTATGTGTCGGATTTTCACTGAATTGAATGCGATCTGCTGCTCAACGCTCATTGATGATTAAATCAAAAAATGGATAATCGAGACTATGTTTTTTTATCGTAGTGACTTTAGTAATGGTGATCAAAGCTAGGCCTAAAATTCAATCGCTAAATTCCCGGTTCAGAGCAGATCAATTTGACTGAAATTTTCACCAAATTCCCTTTTCATTATCTAGTTTTTAACTCCTATAGTGAGAACTGCCAACTCTTTATCTAATCTCCCATAATGTATGTTTAATTATCAAGAGTCCTTGATGATCGTCTCCAGCTTGTGTTCATGTAAATAAAGGGGATTGGTACTGTAGAACATCTCTGATGAGTTCGATCTAGCCCCCACCTCTCAAAAGAATAATTATAGTCTAGAGATAAATCAAGAGAAATATTTTCAGACCAAATCAAAATTGACACAAATTTCTTGTCATAATTGATAATCTTTATGCAATCTGAGAAAATTTATGAGAGAATGTTTATGGCTGTGTATATTGCTAACAAGATGAATGTTATTGTTCGCTGCTAGTTAAATACAGATAGGATACACAAGTAGGCCTTGTACACAAGTAGGCAATTTTAATCTTTCAAACACTAAAATCACAATTAGTTACCAGACTCCTATATAGGCACATAGAGTTAACTATTTAAGTTTACCTATAACAACTTATGGATGAAGAATCTTTGGCTTTTAACAAAAGTGGGGAGGGGGAGATCGAGTGGTCAAATGGGTGTGCTGTCATATGGCATTGTTTCAATACCAAGCCTGTACGCTACATGGAGTAAGGTTTTCTCCGGGTCCTCTGGTTTCCACCTACTGCTAAACACCCCTACACACAAGAAAATTAAACCACATTTTTCTCCTCCGCGACAAATGTTTTCAAATTTTTGCCGAGAAATAATGTGTTTTTATGTGTGAAAGACTAAAGTTACCTTGTGTTCACAATGGCATAAGTGTGCTAATAGTTGTAGAAAATTTTGCTAACTTCTTTTGTTCTTCTGCATATTTTAATGCAAGCTAAATATTATTTTAATTCATTGAAGAAAGTATTGTACTGTTTTTATATACCCATATGGAAATGTGGTTGTATATTGTCGTCACCCGCATCCATCTATCCATCCGTACGTACGTCGTCCACAATTTCTTGTGAACGCCCTTCAGACTACATTTATAATCTGTTTGTTTTAAAATTGTTGTTTACATTAGTGAGATGAAGAAGTCTATTTATTTTCAACAAGTGCCGTTAATTTCTTCTTAAAGTTATGACCTGACTTTGTGTCTGACGATCTCTGTGACAGGTGCCTGACAGTATCTGTGACAGGTGCCTTATTACCAGGCTTGATCGTGTGAAAGTTACCAGAGTTTTTATTCTTTGGACTGAGTTGAAAAGACCTTAATCAACTCTTGATGTCATCTTATGTGTCGGATTGTCACTTGATTTGAATCCGATCTGCTGCTCAACGATATTGATGATTAAAATTCAATCACTAATATCTCGGATCAGGGTGGATCAATTTGAATGAAATTTTCAGCAAATTGCCTTTACATTATCTAGTTTTTAACTATTATAGTGAGAACTGCCAGCTCTTTATCTAATCTCCCATAATGTATCTTTAATTGTATTATATCGCCTGTCCAACCTCATGGGTTTTCACCCGGTCCTCCGGTTTCCTCCCACTGCTAAAGACCCCTACGCACAAGTGAATTATTGAAAAAAAAAACTGAACCATGTGTTAGTCCCGAAATGACCTAGTTTGTGTTGAGTGGACGTTAAACCCCATTTCTCTCTCTCTCTCTCTTTAATTGTGTTATCAACTAGGGGATTCCATCAATGAAATCAATACTTTCTTCACTGAATGTGTTTTAATTTATTTAATTTGTAGAGAACCACTATTAATATCTTTCTGTACTTTTAACTCTTTTTATTTTTGCTTGCTTATCTTGGTAACAGAATCAAGTAAGTTTATACTAATCTATACATTTATAAATAAAATCATCATCCTAGATCAGATGTATAAAAACTTCAATCATTAATTGATTGCCCTGTGTTCTACCTATTATACATTTATAAATAAAATCGTCATCCTAAATCAGATATATCAAAAATTCAATCATTCATTCATCCAGTGCCCTGTGTTCTACCTACTTTTGCACTGGAATAACACTCTGGAAGACCAAATCTACTGAAAATACTGGATGTTCGTAAAAAAAAAAAAAGTTTTATTTTGATACATGGTAGATTTGGTTGTCAGAAATGCACCGGATACAATAAAATGATCATGGACTACGATGTCCCATGTACATATTCGTGTGCACATAAAAGAACCCTTGACAGTTGGAATTTTAAATTGGAATTAGAATGAAATGTGGGGTAATGTCCTACTGTTCTGCTCCAACTGCCAAGATATCTTTTATGTGCATTCGCATGTGTACACAAGGCCTTGATTTTTCGTCCCATCCGAAGGACTATCCATTGCCAGGCCCACTATCCTGCACCACTAACAAGTGGAAACCAGTGGCAGAGAATCCTGATGAACATTCTCGACCAACACCAGGATCGAACATGGGACCTCCTGGGCGACCTTGGTTGCACGGATTTTCGCACTATCGTCCAACCTGTGGTCGTGACCAACCATACCATACGATAGAGCACGGCCGGGATAGTTCAAACTATGGTCCGAACTATAGTCTACATCTGAAGGTCGCCCAGGTTAACGAGTGGACATCGTACTCACTTAGTCACCGTGGCTCCATTTTAAATAAGATTAGTCTGTAACACCACTATTCCTGCAAAGTAACCTTCATAGCACACCACATGGTATATGCCCAACTTCCATAGCCCACTTGGTGCTGAAGAGAAGGATGCTAAACCCTGTTTCCTCAACTCTCCTCTCTACCATAATACTTTGGGGGGTGGATGGCTGAATGGTTAGCACGTGCACGCTGTATCATAAGGTCTGTCATTAAGTCAACTGGCGTGGTTTCGATTCCCCAGTTGTACGTGCAAGGAGTAGGGTCGCCTGTCTAATCTCGTGGGTTTTCTCCACGTCCTCTGGTTTCCCTCCACTGATAAAGACCCCTACGCGCAAGAGAATTATGGAAATTAAATTGAGCCATATGTTAGTCCGGAAATGACCTAGTTTGTGTCAAGTGGACGTTAAACCCCATTCCACTCTCCTCTTTACCATAATGCTTTATACAGTTCCCCCACAGGTGGGTATATGAGAATAAAAACATTTAAAAATCTAGTTATTCCTTCTGCTGGATCACTATCCGTGTGAATAATTAAGACGGTGAATTCCTACTAGACGATATCTATACAAGTCACATTATACTCTTAAAATTTATAAAACAGCATTAGGCCAGAGCAATTGAATTTTTTTCGCTCTTTGGGAGTATTGATCTCATGAATAATGTTTGGTTAAAAGTTTCAAAACTTACAATTTGAAGTAAAAATATTTGAGAAGAGCAACTAGGTTTTTGGGGTTTTTTTTTCCATTGCTAAGAAATAAGAAACCGGTGTTCCCTTTTATTTTAATTTAATTATTAGTTCAAAAACTTTTTATTTAAGTTCAGATGTTTTGTTGCTGCTTTTTAATAAAACCTCATTGGCTGTTAAGTTGAAATTCCATTGATGCTGCTTTTAGAACTGTTGAGATTTAAACAAATACTTAGCCCTGTTTAACATATAAGCGTCTAATGGTAATGCATTGGGACTGTTTCAATGTAACCCACGAAAAGGCCTACGGAAATGCCACGAAAAAACGTGTACATGGAAAACAGGCCTAAAATAAACCAGCACCAATGAAAATTTAAACTGAATCACTTAAAGCTCATTTTTTTTATTGCACCTTTAAATATACCATACTATTATATATTTACATACTTTATCATTTATTAACATGTTTATCCTAACATTTTTATCATTATGAATAGAAAAATTCACATAATATTTATCAATGTTGGGAATGAAGTCAGTCACCTGTGTTCAGTTAAAGTGAACGTAGCGTAACGTTAGTTTGTTAGCGGAACCAAACTTTAGTAAAGTATTCTAACAATAGTCCAGTCTCAACGAAAGGGGGTTCACTAGTCAGACTGCCATTCAAAATACTAGAAGCAGAAGGACCTATGACGCTGCTACTCATAAGGCATTTGTTGTGCAATTATCTATGTAAACAGAATCTATTAGGTCGATTAATTGCTCACCTGTCTCCAACAAGTGCGAGACAAGCCTCTTATTTAGCTCCTCTCACACTTTTCCCAGGAAAAACTTGCCTGCGATGTCACCCTAGGTTAAAGCAGATGTTAAGTCTCATTGAAAGAGAGTGAAATCTACTGAAGGTTTTGTCATGGTCAAGGTCAAAAGGTCAAGAGATGGTTGAACTTGAACCCCAATAATAATCCTAACCCTTGGACGTCTTAAGAGTTTCACTGCCTGCTATACAAAATACTATAAATATGAGTATCAAGCAAACCAGCAGGAAATACTGAAGGTTTTAAGACGTTTTGCCAGGGTCAACAGTCAAGATCAAGAGACAGTTCTGAGTTGAACCACCCCAATAACTCTAGCTCCGAACACTAGTAAGCATTCGTCATCTCAGAGAAGACAGCGGTACAAAGTAAACACTTTACTGAACACAGGGGCTGTCCTTGATGATTTCCCCTCAAATCCACCTTTCTATTTATAGAGGTGGGTTTTTCCAGTTTTGAAAACTTCCATTGCCAGAAAGTGTATCTTGAATGAGAAATAACTTAAACATTGTTTTATTGTTTGGCAGGTTCTGAAGAAGATCAAGAAGCAACCGAAATGTTGGTAGGAAATGCCCAGAATCTGATGCAGGCTGTTAAAGAGACTGTTCGAGCTGCTGAGGGCGCATCTATCAAAATCCGAGTCGACTCAGGTTATCAGATCCGCTGGGCTCGTAAACGACCTTGGTATACATAAACAGAGGTCACAAATGACAAAGCAGTGATCGAAGGAGAGTCAGCTATAAATTAAGCTTTTGGAGCTGAATCACTGGAACGTCTGGATACCAGATTTTATTAAAAACCCATTCTAAATAAAACCTTGATATGTTACTGATTAAAATTTGATATTAAGAAAAGGAATACAAATTTAAATTTAAATAAAATGACCATTTCAGATTTTAGATGCTCTCGTAAAATTGATCATGGTATTTTTATTAAATGATGACAACATTTTCCTGAAATGTTGTTTTTATTTGAGTATTCACAGTTTGAAATTGTCAGGGATATTTGTTTCATTATAAATTAATAAAAAAAAAATCATTTTGTTTAAAAACTTATATCGCTAAGACCTACCAAAGCTTTTTATTTTATTTCTTTTTTTTTTTTTGCAATATTTATATGTCCTCACTTTTTATTATTTTTGTGGATGTTAAAGCGATGTATATATTTAATGCCTTAAATTAACCGGAGGGCCTTGATGCATGTCCTACTACAAGATTTGTTCACTATACATGTTTAGACGTAAATTATTAATAGATGCTTGGTTACGTAAACAAGGGGAGATAACAATACAAATAGTTGGTTACTTATAGAATAATGCTATTTTAAATGGAATAAGTCATAATACTACCTCTTTATAGATTAATTCTCTTTCATCCAGTTATAACAATAAGATTAATTCTCTTTCATCCAGTTATAACATAAGACCACATGGTCATGGTATTAGATTTTGTTTTTGTTTCCTTGCCTGCAGACTAACGAGGGGTATTTGATGATCAGTTCAGAATTGACAGAATTGCAATTGAGTGGCGTGGAATCAGGTCCAGTCACATTCCTGTCAGCTTCGACAACGGAGGTGGTGTGAGTAGCAACGATTGTGTATCAGCTGTCATGGTTGGTTGAGATATGTTCTCAAGCAGTAGGTGCATGGGTTCTAGATCCAAATCCACATTTTCACTCGATTGTCACTATTTTTGGGATTAACAGAATTCAATTCCGGAATGTTCAATTGAGCTTTCCTCTCAATTCCGGAATGTTCAATCAAGATTTCCTCTCAATTCTGGAATGTTCAATCGAGCATCCCTCTCAATTCTGGAATGTCCAACCGAGCATCCCTCTCAATTCTGGAATGCTCAATCGAGCATCCCACTCAATTCTGGAACGTTCAATTGAGTATCCCCCAAGTGACCAACGCCCCAATTACACAACACATGTATGCGAGTTAGTCATGTAGTAAAAAATTCAAAAATATGTAATTTATTTGAAAGCACAAGTGTCTTGTATTTATCATAGAGTACAACCCTTCCTCAGTATCCTCAGTGGTTTCATTCCGTTCTACATTTGCCATCATCAAGAGCAGATAATTTGAATTGTTTGTTGACATGTGATTTTTAATTGTGGTCTGAAACCATCTGCTTAAATAACGATAAGAGTTATGTCTCTTTATTTTCGATAAAAATGTCTGACAAGAAAAATTTTGAAATGCCAACACTGGACTACCCCATGAATGGACCCAGGGGTTAGTGGAGTAGAACAGAATGATACCAGTGGGAATGGACTAGAATAATGGATAAGAGTTATGTCCCTTTATTTTAGATAAAAATGTCGTGACAAGAAAAATTTTGAAATCCCAACACTGGACTACTCCATGAATGAACAAAGGGGTTAATGGAGTAGAATAGAATGATACCAGTGGGAATACCGAGGATGTGTACAACCCTAAGTGGGGTATATATATAGTTATTAGTTAGCTTTGATAGCTTTTTATTTTTGCATAATGATTATTTGTTATATAAGTTTATGACAGCATAAATATGTTTCATAGACATCGAAGAGAAAAACATATGTTAGTTATTGTTAATTTTTCTTACGATACAATAGTCAGAACTGAACAGAAAGTTTCAACAGTTTCCACGTATTTTAGATTTAAACAACGGTCTCAAATACTTCAACTATCTGTGGTTCAATTTATAACTGAATTATTTTGACCAGGATCTGAGCATGACCATTCGGCAAACCTTGGCAGACTTCAGTACCCTACATCTAACCTCGGCTGTATACAGTTTCTTGAGATAAAACACTCTTCACAGGCGTCTACACGGCCGCTGCCATATTTAATCCAGGAACTTGAAAATAGTTCCAATTCATCACACAGCCGAGGTTAGATTTAAAGTATTGTAGTCTGCCAAGGCTTGGCAAATGCAAGTATGACGTCATCATTGCCGACATTTGGAATTCTGACATAACAAAAATAGAAGCCAAGGAACGAGTCTGCTAGGTTTCATGTCAATTATACTTGAATTGAAGGAACCCCCAAGAGGAAAACACCATGATCGGTAGTGTTTGGGCCCCAGTTCCTTGTCCAAAAATATGAATCACTTGTTATGAATATCTTCTGCACATTGTTTTAAGTACATTTGTTGAAAAGATGTATTTCGCATAGATTGAAAATATATATGGCTTCCAAATTCTCCATTATATGATTCAATCAATTGGCTGTAGACATAACATGAGTTAGGGGAAAATGTTGAATAAGTGACAGTAATCTTTACCCTAACCCAAAATTCCATATAAATGAATATTGTGTAACCCACCTGAAACAGGCTAAGCTTAGACAAGTAGTGTTTTCATTTCTCCAGTTGTGGCAGAAAAAAACAATTTTGCTTAGAATCTGGTACACAATCAATTATCTTTTTATAATCTTTGAATGGCATTTAGCAATTGATCATAATATAACAAAACACAGTTCGATGGATAAAATTGACTATAATATATACACACGACATTTTCACAAGATTTCACGGGTCATTATCAAGCATTTTATAATTTTGTATGCTTGATAACCAAGCTTGGACATAAGGCAGCTGTCAGAGACTTTGTCAGGCATACATAATCACACATTTTTAGTAAAATATATATATATATATCTACAGGGGCGGATCTAGGATTTTCAGAAAGGGGGGGGGGCGTGCTGCCCCAATTTTGGAGTACGAAGCCCGGCCTTCGGTGGGCGAAACAGACGGGCAATCAACCAAGTCACCAACCGACTCATTTCAGAGTAAATTATGATTTCCAACCTAAACTGACTGTTAATTCCTTTCCCGCGAGTATATATGGGGTAAAAAATTGTTCGCCACCGCAAAAAATAGGGGGTGTGTGCCCCCCCCCCTCCTGGATCCGCGCCTAATCTATGTACGTTATGTGATAATTTGTGCCTGACAATGTCTGTGACAGGTGCCTTATGTCCAGACTGGTTGATAATGACTACCTGACGTGTATATGATATAGTGATGGTTATCCAGACAACTGGGTTATATTATTTTCTTGTTCGTTTGCTTGTTGAATATGGTTAAAATAATCAATTTATTAGACATTATTAGATTTTTTTATTAGAACTACATAATTTCTATGTATTCATTTATTATCATGTATTATTTTTGATTTCTTTTTTTTTGTAATAATCGCTTTGATTAGTCGAATGTGAGTGATAAGCTTGCTCTAGACCAATCATGGCTTATTTAACATAAATATGTTCATATATAAAGAATCTCAGTTTGTTCAAAAATAAATGTAAATTTTATGGGGCATTGTCATATTTATTGAAAAATTTTAACATTTGTAGCAGTCAAAAGGTTTATTGCCTGTCAAAATTATTGACTTAGACACAAGGAATTTATTAACCCTTAAAATATACATGGGCTGAATCCCTGAAATATATATCAAAGTGGTGGACCGTGGAAATAGGCCAGAATTTAAAACCGAGGATATTTATAAAAGGTTTATTTATAGTGTTTTATATTATTACAGTAGTTGTTATAACACTCAGTGCATTTAGGTGATATTAAAAATAATATCCATGGTAACCCAAATAATACATTTATCTCTCTATGTACACATAAATTTTTATGATGGCGGGAGGGTACCATAAATGTTATAACATGATTTTCTAATAACAAGGTACTGTACCATAAATAACATGATATTCTAATAACAAGGTACCATACTATAAATTTTATAACATAATAACAAGGTACCATAGATGGTTTTCTAATGATATGGTACCATAAATGGTTCTCTAAAAGCATGGTACCATAAATGTATTATTATTATTTCAAATTGCGCTGGAACATAGTTTTCAAGTAGTAGTAGTAGATTATTTGAGGTTTACTACCAGAAACCCCAAGGCATACTCCTCGCAGTGTTTAATTAGACCGAAATCCGAGGGGATTTCTGGGCCCATTGCTTCAGGAATATGTCCTCAAGGGAGCTTAACTGATTTATAAACAAGGTATCTTTGTCTCCATTGTCTAGAAAATCTACGAATTGAACTCTAATTTTCCGAATTTATGTGTATCCACTTATTATTAGTCGAGGGTCAATATAATATTTATAGAATATAAGAATTTTAGATTTACCAGAATAGATTTTGATAAATAACAAATTATATTTATATGGTAAATTAGTAGATTTTGTGTATTTTGCATGCCACAAATTATTATACTATTTACAATAAACTGTGATTTTTTATTCCTTTGTTATTTTTTAGCCCATGTGGTCCATCGGGCTGAAATAAGTAGTCATTTTCAACTGTTGGTCAGTCAACAGTTGGCAACAGTTTACAAACCGCACAATACTAGATATTTGTATAATCTGAGAAATATCTTTCTCTAGGGTTAGGGTTCAGGTTAGGTTTATAAATTACATGTCAAATGTACAAATTGAAGCTGTAACAATGGTGTATTGTGGCTAAAACTATTCTGAAGGGTTAGGGTTAGAATTGTGGGTATAAACACAGAAAGATATTTCTCAGATTGTACAAAGATCTAGTATCGTGTTTACAAACTCATCTTAGCCTCATTGCTTACGTTTACAACAATATGGCAGCTTGTTTGTTGGAGGCAGACCACCATTAAATTTCACCATCTCGGTACCCACAAATTGTAATTCATCTATTTATAGCAATTCTCTCTCTGTCTCTTTTCTCCCCTTTTCCATGCCCATTTTTGTTGATATTTTGGTATAGAATGGACGAAGAGAGTTTGAATTAACATTTTCTGCCAGGTTTTGGTAACTTCATGATTTTGAGGTGGAAGAATAACAGGGTTATCAGGTTGGCTACAGTGATATGTACGGCAACAAGTTACATGTTTTTACTATGCTTTTTCAAGTTTGTTTATCTCAAAATTTTGGTGGTCAACCATATACAAATTTTAGTGCAAAGACATGACCATTTGCTCCTCTGTCTGTAGTGGAAAGCATTCAGCCTAACGGAAATTTGGGGAAAAGTTGGAGGTGGGCATAGAGGCCAGAATTAAAACTGAAGTCAATGGGGAAATTAATGGTGGTCTGCCTCCTGTTGCAACAAGATGAGTTACTTCCCTTAACCAACTTCCTTTGAATTTAGTATTTGCCCACCTTCATTAGCCCAATCGGAGCAGAACAGTCGGACATCAAACCCCGTTTCATTTCATTTTCTTAAGCAGTTTACGTGAGGCGTCATCTGGGATGAATCGCATTTCAATATCCTTCCCTTAAGGTTCCCACTTCGCAGTGGTGCTGGATGCAGAGACAACGTATAATTGTTTGGATGGGTATGAAAAACTTGATATCCTTTGTACACATTGGCATGCTTGTAAAAGAACCCTTGACAGTTGGAATTTGTTATAGGCCATAGTGCCGCTGTCCAGGCACAATTTACCTCATAGCACACTGTAGGCTATGGGTAAACCCGACTTCATTAGCCCAGTCGGAACAGAAGGATGTAGAACACCATTTTATAATAAAAGAGAGAGAAATGGGGTTTAACGTCCACTCGACACAAACTAGGTCATTTCGGGACTAACATGGTTTAATTTTATTTCAATAATTCGCTTGTGCGTAGGGATCTTGAGCAGTGGGAGGACCCGGAGAAAACCCACAAGGTTGGACAGGCGAGGATAATAAAGTAAGAAAACAAGAATCCGTCGATAAAATTAAATTTATTATATACTATAGAACAAGTATTGTTAAATGCAAGGATCAACAAATTATCCTGTATTAAAATAATGAAAAGTGTTTTAAGTCTCTGTGTGTCAGTTTTTCAATGCTAAAATATCTCAGATTGACTATTTAAAGCGGCATAAAGAACTGACAATTCTCACTATAACAGTTAAAAATAGATAATGAAAAATGAATATGCTGTAAATTTCAGTCAGATTACTTCACTCTGAGCCTATATATCAGCGATATAATTATAGTCTAGCCTTAACTGTCATTACGATTATAAACAAAGTCTTGATTATCCATTTCTACAATAACCGCATCGACTACAAAGCGTGTTAAAATCTATTTATATCGCAGCCGTCCGGTAAGTTAATGTGTAATTAATAACTTAGATAACATTTCAAGCCTGAAGAAAGACCTGCAATAGACAGATTTAGCTCTTGAATATTGATGTTTAACATTTAAGAAATAAAAATATCAACATGAATGAAATTTTCAATATATTCATTTTCATTATCTATTTTGAACTATTATAGCAAGAACGGTCAGCTCTTTATCTAAATCTTACATAATGTATTTTTAAATGTTAAATAATCTATCAGAGTGGATTAAGTTTTGAAACATTAGATTTTGTCCCAAAAATGCAAATGATGTTATCAGCGACTTTAAAGTAATATGTAATAGACATATGTTCTGATATTAAAACAACCATTTTAAACCAATCTGATTAAAACACAGATTCTATTTCATTTCGTATCTAATAATTCTAGATTTCATTTTACTTGTCTTCACTGGAAGCGTTGTTAACTAACCTGGTTGATGGAGGGAATAGCCAATTAAATGGTCTGTTGAGTCAATTTCTTGTCATCTGGCACTTGGAACTGTGGGTAGACATTCGCAGCAATAGTAAACAATACCCACAAGAAACAAGTTGATCGAATGAATGATGTTATCAAGTCAAAAGCCAAATGTATGATCCTGACGCGACCTCCCAATACAACTGATCAGATCTTCACGTAGTGTAGGCCATCAAAGGAATAAAAAAAGGAAACGAAATATAGATCTGTATTATAATCAGATTGATTTCACACCTACAATCACACTCCATGTTTAACAGTCTCTCCTACGACGATCATAAACTTTACACACTCGGCAAACCTCACCAGATTTCAGTACCCTACATCTAGCCTCGGCTTTATGACGAAGTCCGCCATTGGAACAACTGAAGTTCCCGGATTTACCAAAAGCATTGCCCATGACGACGCCACGACGCCTTTGAAGAATGTTTTATCATACAAATATTTCAAAGTCTGAAGCTGTTTTTTTTTCAAGTTTATCCTATTTTCTACAAACAAGTACAACTTTGCACTGAAAGTTCTAAACAAGCTTCGAACGACGCAATTTTGATAACTTCTTTTTAGAAGCGGCAAGTTTTCCTGATAAGTAAACCGGTGCCGCATCGCAATTGTATAGGCATAGGTACATATCACTTACCGTCATACAGTCGAGGCTAGATGTAGAGTAACAGAATCTGCTGAGGTTTGCCGAGTTAAACTTCACATTTAGAATATTAGAAACAAGAACAAAAAGGTCTTAAACATTTATGCGATTGTGCTATCTCGGCTCCCAGAGAGGGTGTACGTACCATTAGTTTCCCTCCGGGGAAACACACCAGACATTAATTAGTCTAAATCGGGTTTCTTAGCTCCTCCCCCCAACCCCCAGTAGCTCCTGATTGGCTTGATTTGTTTGAATCAAATGCTGACGATTTCTTGACAATTAGGCATTGGTTCCTTGTACGAGTTCCATATTAATGGTCCATTTAACTTTTTCCACATCTTTACATCAAAAGTTCATTCGAAAACAGCCGATTTGATGATTTACTGGGAACTATTTTTAGGGCGCGATGTGAGTGATTCGGCAATATGAGCATAAAATTTGATGTGAAGCAACCGGCAGAAGGATACATCATGTGACTTTCAAAATGACCGACATATGGCCAAGGCGATTTCCCAGAGGAATGAAATGGGGTTTAACATCCTACTGTTCTGCACCGATTGAGCTAATGAAGAGGGGATTCCCCAGAGAGAAAGTAACAGTAAACGTTTCTCTGAGAGCCGAGATTGACGATTGTGCCCATGTAGTTTTTCTTTCACGATGTCAGTGCACACATAAGATTAATGTCGGCATCAAAAAATGCATGGTACTCACTGACTTTCAGGGTAAATGTCCATCTGTCATTCTAATTTTCTTTAACAATGAAAAACAATTCCACAAATATTCTCATATTTTCCATGTCCATTTTTAAAGTAAACCATTTGCCAAGGGGGACAAGCTTCAGTTCCTTGACAAGTTTTTTATTTTTTTTATTTTACAAAAGAATAAGTAAACTTTTAAAGTAAACATCTCAAACAATTTGCCATGGGAACCATGGCTCATCTTCTTAACATCCATCTTAACATATCCAATCTTAACAAATGTTTGTTTTTGACAAAACTTGATAAAAAAAACTGTTTCTGTTTACAACTTGTCGTCAAACTTTCCAGACTTGTTGGTTATTCTGTTATCATTTCAGATTCCTCTGTCCCATTTGACCCGCCTTCCTCTTCCTTCTTCTCACCATTGCTATCTCCAATATCTTGATTCATTGGTTCAGGAGTTTTCTATGAAAAATAAATAGTCTATTAATAAACGTCTTAAAATGAGAAAATAAAATACAGTAAACTTCGCGTAAGTCGATTTGTATAAGTCGGATCTTCGCTCAACTCGGATAAAATCGTTTGGACCCTTTGATCCTGCACGTTTTTCTTATTAGAGTCAGATTTCCTAAGTCAGATCTTTGCTCAACTCGGATCAAAATGTTTGGTCCATTTGATCTAATTCTGTTTTTTTTCCTTCGCCTAAGTCAGATAGGCAGTATCTTCAGAATTTGACTAAGTCAGTTTCGTTCGTACCGATGGTCTAAAATGCGGTTAGGTATTCCATGCACAGAGCCCAAAAATACTTTCTCGGATCATTATGACTCAAATCCGCCTATTTGACACAATGCAATAATAGAAGTTTCCTGGAAAATTCGAAACTCGCTTTCTGCTGTACGAGACACTTTCCGGGAAAATTTAGGACATTTTTCAAAGATGGCGACAAAACAGAAGTTATCTACTCACACCAAAACGGAAGTTATCTACTTGCACATACAAACAAAAGCTTGAAATGTGCCTTTGAATCAATTTTCCGGCTCTTGCGGTTTATTTCTAATCGAGCTAAGATTGAATTTCGGTCTTCGGCTACCTCGGATCTTCGCTTGGTCAGTCCACTTAGATTTGACTTATGCGAAGTTTACTGTACTGCAAATTATTGAGTGATGTTTTGACTAGGTTTCTCTAGTCATTATCAATTCAATTACAGTAAACCTCGCATAAGTTAGATCTAAGTGGACTGACCAATTTTATACGAGTTAAGCGAAGATCCGAGTTAGCCGAAGACCAAAATTCAATCACAGCACGATTAGAAATAATAATTATTTAAAGGCACATCTTTGAAAAATGTCTTAAATTTTCTGGACAGTATCTCCTACAGCAGACAGCTAGTTTCGAATTTTCCGGGAAAATTCTATTAATGAGTCACGTCAAATAGGCTGATTTGAGTCAAAATGACGTAGGAAAGTATTCTAGGGCTCTGTGCATGGAATACCTAAGCTTGTTTTAGACCATGGTTTCGGGAAATTCTGAACATACTAGGATTACTGCTGATCTGACTTCGGTGAAGGAAAAAAGCTGGAATTAGATCGAATGGACCGAACATTTTGATCCTAGTTGAGCGAAGATCCGACTTAGGAAATTTCTTCTGACTTTTTTGTGGCAGACGATAACAGTACAGTAGGCTCGACTAAACCCAGATCGAGGTCGTGGATAAACTATTCTTGTATTATTGGGCATGTTTTGGATGGTACAGAGATAGAATAGTCGCATAATTTTAAAAAATACTTTGATATAAAATATCTAATCCATCTCTTATACACTAGGTCTACTGGCATTATTTCCTATGAAGGAAGTAAAAAAAAAAGACCTTTCATCATAAAAACAGTTATTTCATTTTGTTTCACAGATTGCACAGTTTGAGGAATTCAAACCGAGTCCTGATGATGCATCATTAATAATACATTATGAAAGATAAGATAAAGAGCTGGCAGTTCTCACTATAATAGTTAAAAACGAGATAATGTAAAGGGAATATTCTGAAAATTTCAGTCATATTGCTACACTCCAAGCCGAGAAAACCTTATTTTAAAATCACTGTAGCCTTGATTGTCACTGTTACTGCTGTCACGATAATTAACGAAGTCCCCATTAGCCATTTTCGCATTCATAATGGGTGCTTAACAGCAGATCAGATTCAAATCCATTGAAAATCAGACATGTAAGATGGCATTGAGAGTTGATTATGGTCTTTTCATTTTAATAAATGTCTAATTATTAATTTATATAACATTTAACACCTTTAGAAAGACCTGCAATAGACAGATTTAGCTCTTGGATAATGTATGTTTAACCCTGTCATCCTATATGTTTACATTAACGCACTCTCTCTCAAATATGTTATTAGGTTGGATTTCTTTCATATAAATCTTAAAAGTTATTATGGGTTTTAACATCCACTTAACACAAACTAGGTCCTTTTGAGACTAACATATGGTTCAATGTTTATTTCAATAATTCACTTGTGCGTAGGGGTCTTTAGCAGTGGGAGGAAACCAGAGGACCTGGAGAAACCCACTAGGTTGGACAGGCAACCCTACTTCTTGTCACATACAACCAGGGAATCAAAACCACACCACTGGGCTCAATGACAGACCTTATAATGCAACATGCACATGCTAACTATTCGGCCATCTGCCCCCCACCCTTCATTCCTTCCAAAGGTGCAAAATGAATCACATGTCTCTCTAAAAGACATTATTAGTTGTTTTTGTGGGGTTTTTTTAAGAAGAAAAATCTACAATCTAAAAATCATAATAATGCAATCATCACTTGATGCTTTTTTAAAAAGTTCATTTGAAAGGTGCTTCTGCTAAGATGTTAGCGGTTGGGTTTTTTGGTTTACAGGTTCAGTTCAAAAGATACAAATAGAATCAGAAGACGGTTGCTGTCGGAGCAGAACAGTAGGACATTAAACCCCATTTCATTTTATAGGACAGTCCCAATTTGGTAACAAATGGGAGGTAATTCACCAACCTTTCACTTGCGCCTAGGATTTATATTTTCTTTGTCTGGAATAAGTGGCATCGTTTCTCCGAACGCTGCCATCTCTTGCTCAATGGACATCATATCCTTGGCCATTTCATTGGACCAATTATCAATGTTGTCCATTACTTCACCAGTAGAATTTGTTTTGATTATAACGGGTGTATTTTTATCAGGAAACTGGCAATGAGAAACAAAATGAAATAAATTGCTTTTGAATGTATATTAACTCCTATCGGACATAATTCCCCCTATTTCACAAAGCAGGGCTTTCTACGTCACAATTTTACCACCTGGTCAATTTCTAACGCATTTTGTTTACCTTGGATTTACCTGTCCTACCTGGAGAACTCACCCGACGGTAAGAATTTCAAAAAACCTGAACTTAAAACACAATAAATACAGTTCAATTTATACAGAAATATTGTTTTTGTTCAATAGAAATGAAATGGGATTTAACGTCCTACTGTTCTGCTTCGACTGGGCTATTGAAGACGGGCCTACGCTATACAATGTGACTAAATTCTGACTGGACAGCAGCACTACGGCTTACTCTTATATCGAATTCCAACTGCCAAGGGATCTTTTACGTGCACGCCAATGTGTACACGAGACCTCGGTTTTTCGTCCCATCTGAACGACTAGACAGCTTTCCTTGTCAGCCCCTCCATCCTGCATCACTGACAAGGGAGAACCACGCCGGAAAATCTGGATGAACTTTCTCGGCCAATGCAGGGATCGAACACCCGACCTCCAGGCTAGCGAGCTAGCGCCTTACCCACTTAGCCACGTGATCCCCCCACCTCCATGAGCAAACGGTCATGTAAATACGTGTAATAACCCTACCTTGGCATCCTGTTCCGCAAATCTAGAGAACATTCCAGCGTAAGTTTTCTTTTCTTTCTCAATAAACTGTTTTAGTTTATGGTTACACATAACAATTTGATTCTTCGCAGCTTTATTTTCAGGTTCAAGGGCGATAACTTTTTCAAAATCTTTCTTTGCATTTTCATACTCATTTTTATTAAGTTGTGCCTGAAAGGAAGGAAATGGAGTTTAATATCTCGTCATTTGGGAGAAGAAATGAAATGAAATGAAATGGAGTTTAACGTCCTACTGTTCTGCTCCTAACCTGGGCTAATGAAGACGGGCATACGCCATACAGTGTGCTATGAGGGAAATTTTGCCCGGACAGCGGCACTACGGCCTACTCTTATATCGAATTCCAACTGCCAAGGGATCTTTTACGTGCATTCCAATGTATACACGGGACCTCGGTTTTTCGTCTCATCCGAAGGACTAGACAGCTATCCTTGTCAGGCCCTCCGTCCTGCATCACTGACAAGGGGGAACCACGCCGGAAACATTTGGGAGAAGAACTTATGAAAATTCTCACAGTTTAAGATCCAATTAAGAAAATAAAATTAAAATAATCTTGATAATCTCCCGGCTTGGATAAATATTGAACAGAATCAAACCATTATTGGACAATATTATAGAATCTGGGCCCTCATTCTCGAAATCTTAACTAAAGGTAAAACCCAAATATTAGTAGATACTTCAATTTTGATTGGCTAAACACTCAAATCAATCTAATATTATCCAATCAAATTAGAAAAAATTTGATTTTATCTTAAGTTAAAATTTCATGAAACAGGCCCTAGGCTTTTAAGAACTTGCAATGAAAAGGTTGAGCGTTTATATTTCTACCTGTCCTCGTCTGAAGAAAGCCTTCGTATTATTGGAATCCATTTCTAAAGCTTTATCACATTGTTCAACAGCTGAGTTATTTTCTTCTAGTTTAAGATGACATAAAGCTAGATTAAGATGTGCCGCTAACATTAAAGCATCTCTCTTCTTCTGTTCGTCTTCTTCTAGACTCGTCTCGTGTTCTAAATATGATATAACTTTATTGTAACATTTAATCGCTCGTTGATATTCACCGGCCTACAAAATATCATAAATAAAATAAATTACAAAATTTTATTTAAACAATATTTTATTCATTTAAATTTACAAAATTTATATAATAAATATAGGATACGATAACTAGCTTTATCAGCTTATATAAAATCGCTTACAAAATGAAAACAGTCAAAAAAATAACACAGGAGATGATTGTAACATTGTAAGGAATACAAGTTCCTTAAAAGTTTATTTCTGTTGATGTTTCTAGGAAGGTTTTCTCATCTAGAGAGAGAGAGAGAGAGAGAGAGAGAGAGAGAGAGGGTTTAACGTCCACCCCCACCCGACACAAACTAGGTCATTTTGGGACTAACATATGGTTCAATTTTATTTCAATAATTTGCTTGCGCGTAGTGGTCTTTGGTAGTGGGAGGAAACCCGGAGGACCCAGAGAAAACCCATGAGGTTGGACAGGCGACCACACCAGTTGACTCAATGGCAGACCTTATGATACAGTGAGCATGCGCTAACCATTTTAATATATTCCTTACCTTAACATGATTGGTTCCTTTAGATTTAACAAGTTCTGATTGGTCTAATTTTTCTGGTACATCCATTTCAAATGGTTCTTTAGCCTACAATAGGATTTATAATAATAATGGATAGGACTTTTTTAAACAAATTTCAAATTTTGTCCAATATTAAGTTAGCTCATAACTAAATTTCTGTAGATTTCAGTAAGAAATTCATGACATCTAGAATATAAAACATCCAAATATAGGTTGCTAGGAAATCAACATATGCCCACAGCTGCCAAGTCGCCCCAGCAGTCCACAAAGGTTGCTTCGTTTTGAATTTTTAGATACTATCATCGGCGCGTTGACAAGATTCTGTAACATAATCAAGGGCAATATCGTAATTCTTATCCACAAAATAATCAAAACTAAGAATATAATTTTTAATTAATTCCCATGATGAACTTTCTTGCTAGAGCAGTGATTCTCAACCAGTGTGCCGCGAGATCTTCCTAAGTGTGCTGCTGCGAAATTTTGAACGGCACACTAAGATAATGTGAAAAACCAAGTGATCCCAATTTGAGTATTCACCGGTGTCTACTGATAAGTTCATAGCTGTGTTTTTCTTTATTTAGTTTGAGTCATTCTATGTGTCTATGACTAGTCTCTGGTTGTATGCCGTCTGACTTACCAAATTTTTTTTTATTGCAAAATTCAAATATGTTTATATAGCCAGGTGTGCCGCCATTTTTTCATGTGTTCCAAAGTGTGCCGTTCACAAAAAAAGGTTGAGAACCATTGTGCTAGAGTGTTCATCACCTTCTACGGGAGCAAAGGGCCATCACTCTAGATGTAATTAACAGACATGTAATTGAACTTTGATGTGATTCTTTGTTTCATTTATCTGAACAATGCATATAAATTACGTGTACTCAGTTGGTAACTTTTGTCACAAAAGTGATGAAGGGTAATAACTCTGGAAAAAATTAACGAAAACTGGTGTCAGCAGCATATTGTGGACAGCATACACCCACACTGACTTTTCAGGATTGATGCAAATCTATTGTTATTGAATGCCATATTCCTGAAGCAATGGCCTGAGAAATTCCTCTCTGACCATTGCTGGATTCGTTTCTGATACTTGAGCTTTTGAGGGAGTTTGTCTATCCCAAGTACAGCAACATGACAGCCCTTCGTTTAATCTGGGGTCTTCCCTAAAACTTTGGACAATGATTTAAGGTATTAAAAACGGTGAAAGTATGTTCGTCTCCAAACAGTATTGTTTACATTATTTTTGATTTGATAGCCTCGTTTGTCACGCAATTAGTTTTTCTGCAATATTCTGCTATGCACTGGTTAATTGGGCATAATAAAATTGTTAGTCATGACGTAACGTTATGTAAACATATTTGGTCCAATTTGGAGCTCTGTTTTAAGCGTTATGCTTTTGTAACGCAGTTAGCTATTGGTTGTTAATCTGACCATTGACCAGTCATAATTTGGAACAGAAATTTGCTTTCGTTAAAGCAGTGTTTTGTGGGATTAGGTATAATCAAACGAAACACTGCGAGGAGTATGTTGAATGCCAACATATTGCACAATTTCAAAATAATAAAAAATTATAAGTCAAACCTTTTCGAAATTAGAAAGATAAACATCATATTCTAGAGTAGCATTTGGTGGAATTTTAAAATCTTCGCTTCCCGTTGAACCATACGCATACTGAGGTCCTACGGTAAGATGACATTTTTCTCCCCTCTTCATTTTAGTAACAGCGATTTCAATGGCTTCAATGACATTCTGCTCGCTTGCTTCACCAACCTCAAATTGTACATCTCTTTCATCAAATCTGATACCGTCGTATTTACCTACATAGTGAACTGAAAAATACAAATAAAATGAAATTGGTTAACATCCTACACTTCTGCACCAGAGAGAGAGAGAGAGAGAGATAGAGATAGAGAGAGAGAGAGATAGATGGGATTTAACATCCTCTCGACACAAACTATGTCATTTCGGGACTAACATATGGTTTAATTTTTATCTAATAATTCGTTTGCGCTTAAGGGTCTTTAGCAGTGGGAGGAAACCGAAGGACCCGGAGAAAACCAACAAGGTTAGACAGGCGACCCTACTCCTTGTCACATACAACCGGAGAATCGAAACCACGCCAGATGACTCAATGACAGGCCTTATGATACAGCGCGCACATGCTAACTATCCGGCCATCCAACCTCTCTGTATCTTCTGGTGTTGATACTTGATTCTATTTTACATAAGATTCATAACCATGTTCAGTCGAACTTCCCTTCGTCTCCCTCCCCCACATTCAGGGGATGCTCGATTAAACGTTCCAGAGTCAAATTCTGCCAAACCCCAAAATAGCGACAATCAAGTGAAAATGGGGATTGCATACGAAAATATCTCAATCAACCATGACAGCTGATACATATTCATTGCGTTTAATTACGTCACAATTCTACTCACACCACATCAGTTGTCGAGATTGACAGAACTATGACAGGACAGGATTGAATTTCATGTCACACGATTGCAATTCCGTCAATGCAGAACGTTCCTGATAGGCAATATTCCCAATGTTTCATCTCCAAGGGAATTCACGTACAATGTCTCAAAACACAATACAACTCGGGCTTTTAATACCACATACAGCTAATCTGATTAAAATACTATCTATATTTCGTTTTGTTTTCTAATATTCGATGGCCTCCACTACATGAAGATCTGACCAGTTTTTTTGTGAGGTCGTGTCAGAGGTCATACGTGCGGCTTTTGACCTTATGACGTCAGACATATGATTAACCAATCAGCATTGATGATTCTAGTGGATTACCCACAGTTCCATGCAGCTCATGCCAAAAGCTTGCTGTAACAGACCTTTTCATTGACTAATCCCTCACATCATCCAGAACTCGTCAATGATAACAACTCTTCCAGATCCTAGTGTAGTAAAGACAAGTAAAACGAAATTTTGAACTATAAATAAAACGAAACGAAATAGGATCTGTGTTTTAATCAGATTGCACATACGGTCTGTTTCGTACTTACCATTAACTGATGAGCCATCCTTTGGTTGTTTATATCCTTCTCCTTTCGTTAAAATTCTACGAATAATTCCACCATCTTTGTTTTCCGTCAAGTCTTCACCTACAACCGAAATAAATAAAAATATATGCTCATTTTATATATCTCTGAGATTTTGGATCAATAACAATATTTTTCATCAAAAAAGCAACCAGCGTTTGTCAGGCAAGATACGCCCACATTTTGCAAGAGATGGATAGAGAATAGAGGTGGAGGAGAAAAAAAAAACAAAAAAAACTTTCTGACTTCTCAATTTTCCACAAGCTAAAAACGTGATTTTTTGTACAATCAGAGACAATAATCCATGAAATTACAATCGGATACATGCCAATATCGAAAGGAACAGATCTTTGGGATATAAACCTATATTTCAAGTTTTGTCAAAATTGAATAAAAATTGTGAGGAGATAGATAGAGAGAGGGAGAGAGGGAGAGAGAGAGAGAGAAATGGGGTTTAACGGCCACTTGACACAGAATAGGTCATTTCGGGACTAACATATGGTTTAATTTTATTTCAATAAATCGCTTGTGCGTAGGTGTCTGTAGCAGTGGCAGGAAACTGGAGGACCCGGAGAAAACCCACGAGGTAAGACAGACGGCTGTATCCCTTGTCACGTACACTGCAACCAGGGATTCGAAACCACGCCAGTTGACTCAATGATAGGCCTTATGATACAGCGCACACGTGCTAACCATTTGACCACCCAACCCTTCCATACATGTACGATCACATTCATATGTACATGTAAGTTTATAAGAGATCTATCACACAATCACGGGGGAGGGGGGGTGGGGGGATGGCCGAATGGTTAGCACACGTGCGCTGTATCATACAGTCTGTCATTGAGTCAACTGGCGGGGTTTCGATTCCCCGGTTGTACGTGACAAGGAATAGGGTCTCCTTTTCAACCTCGTGGGTTTTCTCCGGGTCCTCCGGTTTCCTCCCACTACTAAAGACCCCTACGCGCAGGCGAATTATTGAAATAAAAATAAAACCATATGTTAGTCCCGAAATGATCTAGTTTGTGTCGAGTGGACGTTAAACCCCATCTCTCCCTCTCTATCACACATTCACACCATCACTCTCACCCACCCCAACCAACACTCCTGAAATATAGAACAATGTTATTTGCCCCTGTGTGGCATACTCTCATTACACATACATCCAACCGGTGAATGCATCCACATCACAACACAGAGTTGTAATCAAACTAATCTAATCTAATCAAATTATAAGATGTGAAGTTTATGGGTTTTTCACATAAATTCAGGAAGTTCTTCATATATTATGACTCCATGAGATAATGATAACACTGTCATTTTTAAAGTGGCCTATTCAAGAAAGAGAGAGAGTGGCCTATTCGAGAGAGAGAGAGAGAGAGAGAGAGAGAGAGATTAACATCCACCAGTCCTTCACGTTTAAGGAGAGCTTTTGCTCCTGTTCCTCTCCACGCAGACGCACGTCAGCTTTCCTTCGAAGGAGTCATTAAAGACTCCTGCAAATTAGCTAAATCGCTCTCCTAAATACTGAGATTAATAAACTACTTTCAGTACCTGCATATATTCAAGGTATCAGGAGCTTTTTATGGCTCCCGCACAATTTTATAAACATGAAAGACTGATCCACTCAACACAAACTAGGTCATATCGAGACTAACATAGGATACAACACTTGACCCAATGACAGACCTTGTGATCTTCCTAAGTGTGACGCGAAATTTTGAACGGCACACTAAGAAATTGCGAAAACCATGTGATCCCAATTGAGTATTCACGGGTGTCTACTGGTAACTTCATAGCTGTGTTTTTCTTTATTTAGTTTGAGTCATTCTATGTGTCTATGACTAGTCTCTGTCTACAAATCTATGCCGTATATGACTTGCCATGTTTTGGGGGTTTTTTTTCACAAAATTCAAATATTTTTCATATATATTTAGCCAGGTATATATTTACATGTGTTCCAAGGTGTGCCATTGGCAAAAAAAGGTTGAGAACCACTGTTCTATAGTATAATTTTATGCTGTTAGAAATGAAAAGAAGAGAAATGAGGTTTACATGTGCATGTTAAAGATCCCTTGACAGTTGGAATTGGATATAAGAGTAGGGTGTAGCGCTGCTGCCCGGGCAAAATTTCCCTCATAGCATACTGTATGGTGAATGTCCGTCTTCATTAGCCCAGCCGGAGCAGAACAGTAGGACATAAAACCCTATTTCATTTCGTTTAATGTCAAGGTCAAAATTCTCGACAATCAAGTTCCACTCATTCTGCTGAGACTCGAAGTATAAGCAAATCTGAGTGTTATTAGACTTGTCTCCTTGATGTAAAATTGGTGGTAGTGTCTCTTTAAAGTTTGATCTTATTTTGACCTTTAATGAATCAGCTACTTTAAATTAGATCAGATTAAGATAAAAGTGTATTTTCCTGGAGTCGATACTTAAGAAGTAACATATTATCAAATTCTCTGACTGTTAAGGAAATAATTCAGATACTCTTGTTTATATCAGGCTTACTATATTTTGAAGATAAAGATTCTTCCTTTTTCAATATGACGTCTCGTCGCCAGATTTTGAAATTAGCGAAAACAAGGATGCAAAAAGTGTGCTAAAATATGAACATTGCATGTAAGATTTGAACTATAACGCCAGACTTCGAAATTAGCAAAAACAAGGACGCAAAAAGCGTGCTAAAATATGAATATTGCATGTTAGATTTGAACTAGAATGCAAAGTTTTTGTGACTACAGTAATTTTGGTTAAAAAGGAAATTTTAAAACTTGAGTTTTTCTGTAGCTATAAAACTCTCTCAAAAGGTTGAAAGCATTTAGGACAAAATTTCATGTAAGACACCATTTTGATGTGTATAAGACTCACTTCCCTTGAACAAACTCCCGAGTCTCAATGAAGAGAATGGAAATAATCGGCCACACATAACTTAACCAATGAAATAATACATCACCAGCCGACATATAATATATGCAAAACTTAAATAATGTGATATTATTGACCAATCGTGTTATCCCTAACTATACTGACCCTAAGAAGGTGAAAAGATAATTTCCCACGGTTAATAATTCAGCCGTAACTAAAATACTAGTATTTTCGTGTAAACAATTATTACCGCATTTTTTAAATGCAAAAACCAAGTAAATACACATTTTTGTAAACAAGTGGTGGTAGACTGGATAACCTGGTTTACATGACGTATTAGAGGTTATCCAGTCTCCAAGTGGTTGAGCGTACACATTGGTGTGCACGTAAAAGATCCCTTGGCAGTTGGAATTTGATATGAGAGTAGGCCGTAGCGCCGCTGCCCGGGCAAAATTTCCCTCATAGCACACTGTATGGCGTATGCCCGTCTTCATTAGCCCAGGTAAGGATCTGAACAGTAGGACGTTAAACCCCATTTCATTTCTCCAAGTGGTGGTTGAATGGACAACGGTCCAAATGATCAAATTCTGTTCCATTTGGCACCAGGCAATAAAATGTTGTATTAATTTTAGATTGTTTGTGTGATGACAACTATTGAAAGTTTTTGCTTCTAATTTCAAAAATAAAAAGCAGAAAATTGCTTCTGGTATTAAAATATAACCCTGTGTCGCCATATTTAATTTAGCCTCAATCTATTTCAAACTCCCACCAAATGTACATTCTACATTTATCACTATAGCCAACATTATGACCACAATTTCAACCTACCTTTCCATGAAAAGAGTTCCACTTCAAAAATAAGGGTTGCGTTTGGTGGAATCTTGGGAGGAGAGCCCGAAGCTCCATAGGCATACTCTGCTTTACATGTGAATTTTGCGATTTCTCCTTTCTTCATGGTGGCAACACCAAGATCCCAGGCTTTGATAACACTTCCTAAAATATAAAAAGAAAATAGAAGATGGGTTGAGTTGGGGCTTAGAATGAACCAGAAGATGGTGTGTTAGAGGTTAGAGTTGGGGCTTAGAATGAACCAGAAGATGGTGGGTTAGAGTTGGAGATTAGAATGAACCAGAAGATCGTGGGTTAGAGTTGGAGTTTAGAATAGACCTGAAGATGGTGTGTCAGAGTTTGGGCTTAGAATGGACCTGAAGATGGTGTGTTAGAGTTGGGGCTTAGAATGAACCAGAAGATGGTGGGTTAGAGTTGGAGATTAGAATGAACCAGAAGATCGTGGGTTAGAGTTGGAGCTTAGAATGGACCTGAACATGGTGGGTTGGAGTTGGAGATTAGAATGAACTAGAAGATGGCGTGTTAGAGTTGGAGATTAGAATGGACCTGAACATGGTGGGTTGGAGTTGGAGATTAGAATGAACCAGAAGTGGTTGTTTAGAGTTGGTGTTTAGAATAAACCAGAAGATGGTTGTTTAGAGTTGGTGTTTAGAATAAACCAGAAGATGGTTGTTTAATGTTGAAGCTTAGAATGAACCAGAAGATGGTTGTTTAGAGTTGGAGCTTAGAATGAACCAGAAAATGGTGGTGTGGCGGTTCGATGCAGCTGACATAATATTCATGTTATATCATATTATGATTGCTTGACGATTTTGTTATTGTTTGTTTTTGGGTTTTTTGTGAACCACAACGCTTGATTTACTTTATTGTCAATATTTGCTGATAAATGAATGTTGTTTCAGTAGATTGGACTGTGTATGTGTAATAAGTACTAATATAGTATAAAATTAACTTATTTTTAAGATGGTACATGCATTAATAAAGAAAGTGAGTTTGCCACTTGGAACTAAAGGCATCCAATCGTAGCTAAAAACAAGCACATCAGTATATCTCAGCGTTTTTAGTTACGTTAATTCTTGTAGCTAACGGAGGCCCTACATAGTAACATACTGTAGATTCGGTATAAAATGATATTTATCTTTCTAATTTTCAAAAGCTCACAAGGTGCACAAATCGATCTACCATTTTACTTCACTAATTTAATAACCAATTTTCCAAAGGTTCATGCGGTAGCCTGCTGAACCTGATCGAAATTTTAAAATTAAGAAAAAAAATAAAAATTACCCATTCCAAGTTGAAACTCAAATTTTTCGCCTCTGTCTCGACTTGAATCAAATTTATCACCATTTTCCAGAGTTCCAACATAATGAACGTATACAGTGTCTCCATTTGCCGGCGAGCCACCATTTTCATCTCCTTGATTCAGAATTTCTTTCAGAACCCCTCCATCTTTCGAGGGAGTAATGTCGACTTCAGACCGAGTCATGACTGATGAGCTGAGGCCACAAAATAGAAAGTGTCTTTACTAATGACTGCAATTTAGCGCCTTGACAATTTCAAACACAGAAAACGTGGGTTTTTACGATGTAAACAAAGATCCGGGAAATTTCTCGAAAATGGAATACGGAAGTGTATCGCCTGATTAAAGGGAGATAAATCTATTTATCACAATACAGTCACTTCCCTTTGATTATATTATTTTGTGTTCCCTGCACAGAGTAAATTGTTACTCTGTGTTCACTGTTGATCAGCATAAGGCGGCATTGCAATTAAAACATGGAAGAAAGAAGGTCGGACATGTTACGTTGATGTTGATTTAATGGCGAGAATTCCACAGCCTTCAGAGATAGCTTTGGTTTGACTTTCATCGCGAAGTATAGGCAATAAACAGATTTATAAATAATGGAAATTTCTTCGCAAAAATATAAAATGCTGTAAAATTATCGCCATTATCAAAATCAACGTAACATGTACGACCGCCTTCCATGTTTTAATAAAACATGCAATGCCGTCTGGGGCCGTCTGGGGCTGTAACTTTTCATCGCCGACAATCGTCGGCGGTTAATTCAGAGGAATTGGCGGTCTTATGGAAGATATTAACATACATGTTTTTAGATTTTATGTTTGTGCAAATGTAAGTTCCGATTCTGAATTGTGTTAATAATATCTTCTACTTGAGAACAATTCACCAATGCAAATGAGATGTGGCCTCGTTGTTTTGTCCCATCGACATCAGAACAGAGAAAATTTCGTCCAGTATATGGGTCAACCCGTCGGTCCATTTACAATTGGCTTGTGAGGCTAGTTTTTAATGGCTGTACGTTTATCTATGACAGAACGAACTCTATATACAACGTTAAGGTCCATGCCCCTTTTTCCGAAATAAGTTTGAACATCGCGAGAGACTAGTGTTTAAATGAATATTTTTTTTTAGAATTTGGAACGAAGCATTACCCTTAAGAGAGGACGAGCCCCATATTTAGCGTTTCGCGATCTTCCATTCCCGAGTTATTCCTTCTTTTTTGGGAGGTGGGGGTGGGGTAGTTAACGCGTGCGCGTTGAATCATAAGGTCTGCCATTGAGTCAAGTGGCGGTGGTAATCGCCTGTCCAACCTCGGGTATTCTCCGGGTCCTCCGGAAATGACCCAGTTTGTGTCGATTGAACGTTAAACCCCACTCTGCCTCTTCGTCAACAATTGGCTTGTGAATCACTATGGTCATGGCAGTACGAACCCTATAAATTATCAGCGTCCTTCCGTTCAAGGGTCATTCCCCTTTTCAGAGAATATAAAAGGTATAAGGTTTGGAGCATTGTGGACGAACCCTGTCGGATATTTAGCGGTTCCGCTACCCTCCTTTCCAGAGTTACCCGCTTTGCCGAAAACCTAAACGTGATAGAGGTTACAGTTTTTGCCTGGCATTGGCTATTTTGTTCTTAGGTACATGTGGTAGGCCTACCTTCAATGGTTGATCTAGCCCAAACTTTTGTGATAAAATCTTTTACAATACATGTATATATACGCATGTTAATATAACCCAACCAACAGGCCTAATATGGAACACCGAACATCAAGCTGGATATAAACGTCGCTTAGTATTAAACTCAGTTTATTGTGTATCCATAAATTTGTACCCTGTGTTAAGCTGGAAGAACACGTCTTTGGCCTATAAATTTAATGAACCCAGTAGGGATCAAGCCATTACCATGCTCGGCACACTTCCAGACAAATTGTACCAAGCACAACAGTAGTTCCCCCCTCCTCAGATTTTAACCCCACAAGTCAACGATATACATAAATTATAAATATAAAAATACTAATTTAATACTATTAAAATCTATTTGACATATCAATAAAGTTAGGAACTTGTTTAAAGATTATATTGTTTACACCTACAAATTAATTGTATAACATTAAAGGGGATATAACACATGTTAATGTAATATGAGTGTATAAAATGATATAAACCCCTTTGTTATTGTAATTTCTGATCAATTACAAACGATAAAATACGCGAACGGTCCAAATTTAACGACCTGCTTGGTCCATTCTTCGCGTTTTCACAATGACGCTCGAAACTACGTATTATATCCGTAGAATACACAACTCGGTGAAGAGATATTAAAATGTTAATTGGGTCTTAAATATTGGATATTAGGATTCCACATTTTCACGGTAAGATAACAACATTGATATTGATTAACATGGACCAAAATTGAATTCTTATTTGTGTTTTAAATTTCCAATATTATGGATGATATTGAATAAGAGGTTTAACCCTTTAAAGTCTCCTGACTCAATACGATTGAAATGTTTTGAACGTTTTAATGTTCATCTTTATCAAATAACACCCATAATAGCCCCTGGACATTCTGTTGCAACTGTCTGTTCGTTTCGGATTTCTGGAGCTCTTGAATGACTTCCACTAGTTCTTCGTTCGCTTTGATGAGTTTCCTAGCCTCATTATTGAACGCCATTGACCATAGGCACTGACTGGCGTTGATTCGTTGTTGAATTTCGGTCGACATAAGCATTTTCCTAAGAATTTCCAGCCCCCCTCCTTCGACGATTTTTGTAACATTTTGGCCGACTGCTAATTTGTTCAAAACATCTGCAAGCTCAGCCGCTGTAAAGCCTTCTTTTATTCGATGGTACGTGTCTTTTTCAAGGGAACAATCCAACCACCGAATAATAACGGGGATCGCATTAAATTCATCATCAAGCAGCTGGTTGTCACGGGGGTCTGTTATAAAAGCCAAGGCTGTTAGAGCCAACACCTTAATCGACTCATCGGATGCACATTTAAATCTTATTAATAAGTGGACGAAGTCGAATTTCTGAAACTCGGGTTTATTCACTGGATGACGACTTATATTGGTTATTATTGAGAGAGTTGCCCTGATTATCAAGTGATGATAACCACTTCTCGCTGATGCGCCATTTGGATACAGCTCCAAGTTTTTATACAGTATCTCCAAGATATTATCCTTGGCTAAGTCACAAGCAAATTCGTCACTGGCGTCCGAATAATTCCAAGCTATATCAAGAACGAGTCGACTAGTCGCCCACAGCCATGGGTTCATCAACATGCTACAGTAAGACCCTGGGTGGTATCCGTCCTGCAGCAGACGTTCCAGCATGCTTACAGCACAGTCTGAAAAACAACATTCCGATAAAACATCGCCGATTTCGCTACGATAGCATCGTGTCTTTTCATCGTAATACATTTTCCACAACCGATTTAACTGATAATATCCCGAAACGGGGTCATTTTGACACTTTCTCAGATCGCCTATACAAATTCGCACCTCTTGTAAGAGTTGTCTGCAATCCGCGGACCTCTTAGGAAGCAACGGAAGAAACACATCTTTGTTAGTAGGGCTACTTTCAGTTTGTCCCATTTCGTCGACAGCCAAACCACGGTGATACGCCAGTAGAAATCGTTCACTTGATTTGATATTATGCACTGTCTATGTAGGTCTAGTTTGTCTGTTCCACATTCTCGTCTTATCGGTTCTGTTTTGCATGTCGTGTGGTTCTCCTGTGCTTACTATCCACTCTAAACGCAGACTTGAATGTTGTCTGAAAGTCTCCTCTTCTTAGTTCAACTAAAAGTGTGGAAGCCATCCACTGTAACCTGCAACGCGTACCACACAACAGAAACTCATATTAACTCCGCAATAAGAGGTATGTTGTTCGAGACTACATCTGCTCTTAAACCGAAACCAAAAGTAGACTCGACCCTGTTTTATATTTCCAAGAATTGTTTACCATGCTTGAATAAATATTTATTGTTCTTCGCGTTTCGAAGAAAGCACATAGGTCTATTAAAATGGGTCTGCCTGTCTGTCCGTCCGCCCGCCTGTCCATCGCACATTTTGGGAAACAATAACTCGCCTTCTAATTGAGCTAGAATGTTAAAACTTGGTGTGTTTATTTGGTGAATGCCTATATGGAGCTCAGAGATAAACATTTTATGCTTAGGGTAAGCCGGGGTAAGCAATTTGATTGGTTGATGCTATGGGACAAGGTACCTTTAGTTCTAATTAAGTGAGAGTGATGAAACTTGGTGTGTAATTCCATCACGTCAATACCTTGACTAAGTTCGATAATAAGCATTTTCGGCTCAGGGTAAGGAAATCCCTAAAGCGGTGGACACACTAGCCGAATGATTCGGCCGAATCGTTTGGCCGAATCAATCGGCGTCGAAATTCGCCTAGTGTGTCCACTGTCATTCGGCCGAATGATTTGCCCGTATCAAACAGGTTTGATATATTCGGCCGAATTATATTCGCCTGGTGTGTCCGCTTTGCCGAAGCATTCGGGCGAATGTAGAATTCATTAGCCAATCACCACTCATATAGAGAAGTCACGTGATAGTTTGAAGACATAGTGGCCGCCATGGTTAATCATGTGACGTGAAAGGTGATGCAATCGACTGGTGAATCGGGCGAAGCATTCGGCTAGTGTGTCCACCCATTCGGCCGAAAAAAATTCGGCGCCGATTGATTCGGCCGAATAATTCGACTAATGTGTCCACTGCTTAAGCAATTTGATTTTGATTGGTTGAGAATTTGGAGCTCCACAACTTTGATTCTAAATAGATGATAGTGGTGAAATTTCGTGTACAGTTTCTCAACTAATACCTTAACAAAGATCGGTGCTGAGCATTTTCTGCTTAGGCAAAGTAGCGACTTCAATCTGATTGATCGAAACTTTGGAACATAAAAGAGAGAGAAATGGGGTTTAACGTCCACTCGACACAAACTAGGTCATTTCGAGACTAACATATGGCTTAATTTTATTTCTATAATTCGCTTGCGAATAGGGGTCTTTAGCAGCGGGACCCTACTCCTTGTCACGTACAACCGGGGATTCGAAACCACGCCAATTGACTCAATGGCAGGCCGCATGTTGGAACAAAAACAGCCTCCTTCTAATTGAGGTAATATCTGAATATAGATTCATTTATTTACATTCAAGATTTTGAATCCCCACTCGACCGGACAGTTTTTCCGATTGCCAGGACCACGACGTATATCTACATAGGTCTACCCTTCATCTAATTTCTCTATCCAGCACCACTGACAACGAGCAATCCAGGCTGGAAAATCCCGAGAAAGCTTTCTCTGCCAACACTGGAATTGACTCCGTACCCCTATTTCTAGAACAAGCGCATACTCACTCTGCCAGTAACACTGTGGCCAGTACTAACGATATTTTGAAAATACAACAATAATTAACAGGCGATACATAGTTTTATTCAAAGCAATAGTTTTTCTGATCATAGCTTCGTTTGTAATATCTTTAATCTTGGGGTCTCGGACTGTGGATTCTTAATAATACCCAATTGCAAGACTCAACATGTATATTATAACTTAATCACAGATATTGTATCCGCTTGTAAAGATTTCTATAGCAATTTGTGTACTGCAACAAAAGCAGACGAATTTGTCAGCAGACGACAATAAGTGACCTAGTTACTCATCGAATCACCGACTTAGTGCGACGGTGATATTACCCCCCACGAAACTCTTGTTGCACTCAACTGGGCTAAATCTATTTATTAAGGCCAGCTCAATTTTTGTCAAGTGCGAGGTTGGTTTAAACAGTCTTTATTTCCAGAATATTATACAATATAAAAAACATAAAGAGAGAGAGAGAGAAATGGGGTTTAACATCCACTCGACACAAACTAGGTCATTTCGGGACTAACATGGTTTTATTTTATTTCAATTATTCGCTTGCGCGTAGGGTCTTTAGCAGTGGGAGGAAACTGGAGAAAACCCACGAGGTTGGACAGGCGACCCTACTCCTTGTCACGTACAACCGGGGATTCGAAACCACGCCAGTTGACTCAATGACAGACTTCATGATACAGCGCGCGCACGCTTACCATTCAGCCATCCAACCCCCCAAAAGCATAAAGAATAGGATACAAAACAAGCCAAGAAGGCTTATATTAATTTGTTTCTGGTTTGTGTGTATAATATATGTACAATTTCAAATAATATATGATTAGAATATTTTAGTTATGGCACAAATAAGTAGATAAGTAATTTTGAATAAATAAATAAAAAATTTAAAAAAAAACTACCGGTAGATGAAAAACAAATAAATAAACAAATAAATCCCTCGCCCCAAGGTTGTATTTTACGGAGTAAAACGTTGTGTATGTTTAATATATTTATAAACAGTTTTGGAAATATCGGTGTTGACGTTAGGAGATAGTTCGGCATTACCATAGAATAGGCAAGTAATATTTCTAAAATACATTGGTAGTAAATGAATGGTATTATTGCGCTGGGGTGTGTAGTTTGGACAGTAGAGTAAAAAGTATTCAGTGGTTTCAAGGTCGAAATCACAGTCACATCGAGGATCGTCATATATTTTCATAAGGAACTTGTGGTATCTTAAATCGTTTCCCCTTGTCAGTGATGCAGGACGGAGGGCCTGACAAGGACAGCTGTCTAGTCGTTCGGATGGGACGAAAATCCGAGGTCCCGTGTACATATTGGCGTGCACGTAAAAAATCCCCTGGCAGTTGGAATTCGATATAAGAGTAGGCCGTAGCGCCGCTGCCCGGGCAAAATGTCCCTCATAGCACACTGTATGGCGTATGCCCGTCTTCATTAGCCCAGTTTAGGAGCAGAACAGTAGGACGTTAAACCCCATTTCATTTCATTTCATTTCGTATCTTAAATCAGTTTTGTTATTACGCAGTTTACAATGGATAAATTGGAATTGTCGTTCACCAAAGAAAAACAGTTTAACTTTTGGAAATAAGGTTGGACACAGTTTAGTTTTATAATCAGAGACAGGGGAGGCCTTTTTTATTTCATTATCTAGACTATTCCACGTTTTTATTGTAGAAGGCGAGATTGTAGGTTAGGGTTAGGGTAAGCGTTGTAGGTTTGTATAGTGTCTTTATATAGGTTGGTGTTTAATGATGCTGGGCCTGATCATTGACGCAAAAGTTATTTTCGATAATCCGATATGGTGGAAATCCAAAATGGCGGCCTGTATTGCACCCATTTTGTTTGAACGCTATGTATATATCGCATACATGGCGTGTAATATGTCTTTTTAAGGTGTTCGATGCTGCATAGTATCAATATGCTTCAATTTCATAGAATTCACACAATAACTTCTATAATATATATTTAACTATAAAACAATACTGGTTACATTTCGTTTGACTGTAATACTTTGGTTAGACACAAAGTTGATTTTTTTTTAAAAAAAAAAAACATTTTCACTCTTAATATTTTTTTTTTTTTTTTGGAACATCCCATATACGACATTTTGAAACAATATATATAAAACCTCTTTTTATTGGCTTAGAAAAGATGCGCAAGAAAATCCTCATTCTGAAAAAGCAAAAAAGTGAATTTCGCAAAATATGCCAGATACGACCTTTTGACTCCCCACCGACGACATGTGATAATGGTATCCTGCTCAACGTCGTTGGTTTTCAAGGGTTTTCCAATTTATTAGCGCTAAAGGCCTCTACACACAGGCGAATTATTGAAATAAAATATCTTTCTCTCTCTCTCTCTCTCTCTCTCTCTCTCTCATTGATACAAATTCTGTTCACGAGTGACAAAAACAATCTGAACGCCTAAATGACAGACATCAAATTAAAGAAGTCTGATCAGTACAACGTGAATTTTATCATTAATATTTGGCGCACTCAGTAATTTTCTATTCCATTTATAGTCACTGGGGGTATCTCTTCCGTGGATTTACCCCCTAATTCAAAATTACTCCCAGATTCCAAGAAATTCAATTTCGCTTCTTGAAGTTCAAATTTGTGAAATTCTTTGGCAAATGTTAAGAAATATCCGGTTGCTATAAAGGCTACGACCCATTCCAATAAAGTTGACACCACATGCTCTGTGAAGCCCTGAAAATAAAAATTATAGATTGTGAAATAGTGAAATAATACTGTGCGGGGTCTGTATGTCCTCAAAGTTACAATTTCATATTTTTAAGTTCTATTTTTAAAATGTATTAAAATAAAGCCCTAAAATAGATTGTATCTATAATCAGTCCTACCTTGTTAAAGAATAATCCAATTAATCCTATAATTCACTATTGCCAGTTGAGAAATTGGCAAAAATATCATTTTCAACTTCAAATTCAAACGTTTGAAGATAGCTATTCCATGGCGGGGAATAGGAAAACAAGGGAGGTAATTGGGAGGTAATTGTGTTATTATTTCCGGTGTGAAGATTTTTTAAATGTGAGAAAGATAACCTATGAACGTATAATAGTGAGTTGACAACCTATTTAGCAAAAGACATAGAAATAATTATGTTTTGACTTTCTTAGAAAATATGAAATTGTAACTTTAAGGCGTTCGCCACATATAAATGGAACTTTCACACACAGGTACTTGAAGAGATTCAAATTTCTTACATTATCTTGTCTAGCATATTACAATATATACAAAGTATATCACGCGCCATATTGATTTGATTCGGTGACGACATTTCTTCCTCGATTATCTCACAATACTCACTACATGTAACACTCTTATTCCTTTTTATTGCAGACTAGACTTTATTTAATTCGTATACAACCCCCAGCGTCTGTGCACAATCTTGTTGTCGTCGCACTGCACCAACATGGAGCCATATTCGATTGTCGCCCCGTCACATTTGTTCATGCTAAAATGGAGCTCAATGCCGTTGCCTTGTCCCCCGTCTTCATGACGGATGTTTATCACCACAGCGTGTAAGAAAGGTTTATACCACTTGGCCGGACCCCCCCCCCCCCCACACACACACACACACACACACCCTCACATACACTAAACTTAGGCTGCCTGTCTACAGTTAGCTCCCTTTGAGAATAGGCACTATTAGTTGACCGACATTGTAAGACCTAAATCGACTATTTTAGTCGAAAACACTATGTATACTTCGAGAATTTGGAGCAGTATTCATTCCGAATCCATTCAATACATTGAAAAGGCATATTTGTTCTTTGTGTGTATGACAGATGTGAAACCGAGAACAGCATTACAAAATAGTATACTACTTTTTGGATATGGCGGCCATGTTGTGCAGAGATCTTTTCTCGAAGAATGAAGTAGATGAATCTCTGTGTGCCGAATGGGCTTCAGACTGTAAATCCGACACTGAGTAACTGGGAAATCGCTAAATCTATTTGTTAAAGCCAGCTCAATTTTCGTCAAGGTCGCTGAGATGTAAATAAGGGCAGGGCATGTGACTATTGACGAGATAGTAGGTTAGGGTTAGGGTAAGCATTAGGGCTAGGTCCAGGTGGTTGGAATTAGCGCTATATTTCGTGACCTTTGACCAAACTTAAAGTTGGCCTTATCAAATAGATCTAACCCTGAAAAAATAAAAAAAAACAATGATATTACTTACATTTGATCCGGGTCCCCAATGTTGATCATCCTTTGGTTTCTTACCACTGGCTATCGTAGCAAAAACTAAAACTAAATTGTTGTCAAAGAAAAACAATAATTCATAATGTTTGTCATTTTAAAACCGACTTTGTGAATTAGGGCGTGTATGGTTTCCGAATATCTGAATATGAAATCATTTATTCACATTTAAGATATCGCGTTCCCGTCATTGATAGTTTTTCCGTTTGGCAGGACCACAACTTATCTATCTACCCTTCATCGAAATCCAACGTCTGCACTGGACCTCGATATTTCGTGCCACACGGACGACAAGATCATTTTGTCTTGTCCGGCTCTCTGGGCAACACGAAAAACTTTCTCGGCCATCATCGGTATCCCCCGCCAACGTTATATCACTTTGTCACCGCGACTCTCGACAGTAGTTATGATAATTTGAAAATACAACAATAACAGGCAAGGATACAGACTATGATTCCAAGAGTATTTAATACGGTTAAAAACAACCGCAGTCTGGTATAATTGTGACTATGTCCTGGTAGTAGACTCGTTCTATAAGAAATAATTGTTTGCACCCACATGTACACACAGCCTACCATGAAGGCTAGAAACGCCCCGACTAAATGAACTGCAAGCACATTTGTTTCCTGAAACAGAAGAAAAACAAAACTTGAAAAAACAAAGCAAAAGAAGACTTGTTTTCTTCAAGACTTTCATTTTAAAATTATTATTTATTTTTTTAACATATTTTATTTTATTTCGGACTATCAAGATATTTACTCAACAGAATATTACCATATATACAGATATATTTAATGATGCTGACGTTTCTTCCTATAATAGTTCAAAAATAGATAAGGAAAATGAGTATATTAAAAAATTCCTTCAAATTATTTTATTTTGAGCGACTTTATCATTGTTTGAAGTTTTACAAGATGTGATATAGATTGTTTATTATCGTAACAACGGTACTTGTTATTCGAGACTTAACCCCAATTCGCCATTTTTAAATTAAATCATTTAATGCAGATCATGTTTTAATCCGTTTAAATCTGTGCCATCCAATAATCTAGAGAATTGAATATAGGCCGTGTCAGGTAGACTAAATAAGAAATAATAATTCATATAACGTTTATAACGTTTGAAGACACAATAAAGACCTGCAATAGGCAGAATTAGCTCTTATATAATTAAATTAAATTAAATCAATGAATGCAGACCATGTTTTAATCCGTTTAAATCTGTGCCATCCAATAATCTAGAGAGTTGATTATAGGCCGTGTCATGTGAATAAATGTCTAAATAATTATTTATATAAGGTTTGAAGCAACAATAAAGACCTGCAACATGCAGATTTGGCTCTGTTATTATGTATACACTCGTACAAACTACAAATATAACTGTATTTATTGTGTTTTAACGTTAAATTATTTGAAATTCTCATTCTATGACATGTATGTTCCTAAGGCGGTCAATTACACTGCCAATCAGTCAAGACTCACACATATGACTAAAACGAGAACCCAAGTTTGATCACTTGAATCAGTTACTCAGTATTTTATTACAATTCTCAATACCTGGCAGTTGATCAGAGGAGGTATCCAAGCAACCCTCCCTCAACTCAGTGTCCAAATGATGAAAAAAATTAAATTTTAGTGGATATCACAATATACCTCAGAATGCCTCGTGGTAAAAACAAAATGCCACATTTGTCTGGAGTTCCAAAACGTATTTCTTTTTTAAATTGCCATGTTTTTGGAACGAGGTATTTTGACCAGAACGAGGCTGTTCACAAGGTTGCATACATGATTTTTCAAAAGGGTTGGAGGTGGGGTTCAGCCAAACCAAAGTTTCGTCGAGCGTATCGAGGACAGCATAACATTATTTGGTGACACTTTCAAGCGATTATGCAGAGAGAAAAAACACAAGGCAAAGACAACTAGAAATGACATTCGTTGCAATTCCTTACCGCAGTTCAGAGTTTCTGAAAAGCACAAAATTCTGATTTTGATCGAGGGTGTCTGGTTCTCAAACTCAACCTGCGTATACGCTATTTATTATATGGGTGTGATGATGAATAATACACTATGGGATCAGTCAATGTAAACATTTTAGTTGTTAGCGAATTGCATTGATTGTTGATCGGGCGCTATCTGGTAAAGTTATTTAGGGTCATTATTCTGGCACAGCTACCGTATTTTTCGGGCAAAAATGATACTCACCCCTCCTCTTATGGGGAGAATGTGTATTACCTGAAAGTTTGCGACAAGGTAAATGCCTAGAGCAGCTGACCAACCAATAAATAAACCAACTTTATTCGTTATAAGTAAAGCATTCCTATTACTGTCGGTATAATATATAGATACTTGTCGATATCTAAGATGGACGACTTTAGCACCTGAAAAAAAAAACAATCTCTCGTCAAACAACACTTCAATCCTCCTCCAATGTCTATAATCTGGTAAACGATAGATTTAGTTTTATAGTCACGTACGTAAATCGATGTGTGATTTTGTCGGGACAGCGCCATTTCCATACCTTTCTCCTAATTCAAACAGTTATCTTTCACTCGCACATCTGTCCCATCCGAACAACTGGGCCGACTATAGGCGTATTTAGCGATGGAAAGAGTGGGTCTGGTGGGGCCCAGAGCTGAATTCTCTCCCTCAAATCAGTAATAAAATATGTTTGGGGTTTTTTCTGGCAAAATTAACCAAAATTTGTGGCACATACCATTCAATAATTCGAGCAAATGTTCGCGACCTTTTGGGAGCCTGTACGCCTACAGGACTCCGGTGCCAGTTGGGAAATTAATACAATGTAAAGCCCAATACCATTACAAAGCCCACTGCCTAAACTTGGGCATTTGTATATTCAATAGATTCGTCTGTACTAAAATGTATCACTTATATGCTTAGATAACAAATCTCATCTCTCAACCCTCCGTGTTTCGAGATAAGAGATGGTGCTATATTATAGTTCCACGTAGCAAAGCCCAACGCAAATCACATTGACAATATTTTTCATCAAAACAACGATTGATTATTGTTATTTATAATACTTCTGCCACATGCAACTACAGTTCAACATATAATCCTACCTGAATAGGGTATTAATCATCGTATTTAAAATCGAGGCGTTAAGCTGTTACAAGGAACACCATTTTTAAACGGGAGATGTATGGCGGTGTATGTCAGATAAAAGCAACGCTTCATTAATTTAAACGCGAATATTTGGAGTTAGGCGACAGTTGTGCCACTACATTGGCCTCTGTAAGTTTAATTATTCATAATAGTATAAACTTATCTTATTTTTAAGATGTACATGCGTTAATAACGAAATTGAGTTTGCCACTTGGAACTAAGGGCACCGAATCGTAGCTAAAAAGAAGCACATCAGTATAATATCTCAACGTTTTTAGCTACGTTCTCGTAGCCGCAGTCTTAGGCGCGATTTCCATAGCCTCCATCGCATCAAAATTTATTTTCAAAAGAATGAAATCTCACAGGTGTGGGAGCCACAGTTGCGTGCACGTAAAAGAATCCTTGGTAGGTGGAATTTGATGACGAGCAAATAGAGTCGCCGCTGTCTGAGCAAAATGTCACCCATCTCCGTCTTCATCAGTCTAGCTGGTGGTTATTGCTCCGTTAAGTCCCAAAATAATATTAACTGTCCTTCTAACTGGTCTATAGTAAATACTTACAAATTAACTGGTCTATAGTAAATACTTACAAATTAATGCATAAATACCCAGTAGAAAACCAAAAACACAACTTTCAGGCGGCCTCGTACCTGTATCACTGATATACAAAAATAACATACTTTACACGTATAATTACAAAACACCAAACAAACACAAATTTGGAGAATCGGACAGGACTAAATATAAAATCATAAAGCTATGGTGTCCAGTGATTATGGTGCTGCTCAGTACAAAACAAGAGGTCCGGGGTTCCATCCCAGTTTTGCAGTTGATGGTTCCTCGTGATTTGCCAGTCCGATCTTCCCACTGATTGTAAGTGGTACAGAGGACGGACTGCTTGACAAGGAAAAGCTGATAGCTGTTCGAAGGGTACGAGAAACAGGGGTCCACACGTGTACTTGGACGTAAAATAACTTTTTATAATTTTAATTCGGCGAAGGGTGGACAGACACCCCTTCGCCCGGGAGTAGGGGAGCCACGGTGACTCAGTGGATAAGAGGTTGGCTCGCTAACCTGCAAAAACCGTGTTCGATCCCGGTGTTGGTCAAGAAAGTTCATCGAAATTTTCCGTCTTGGTTCCTCCTTGTCAGTGAGGCAGGACCCAGGGCTTGGCAAGAAACAAAGTATAGTCGTCCCTTGTACACATTGGCGTGCACGTTAAAGATCCCTTGGCAAAGTTTCCATCAAAGTACACTGTATGGCGTATGTCAGTCTTCATTTCTCCAGTCGGAGCAGAACAGGAGTAGGACGTTAAACCCTATTTCATTTTATTTGTCCCGGAGTATTGCATGACGTATGTCCGTCTTCAATAGCTCGATTGGTACACAACAATAAGAAGTTAAACAACATTTCATGCCCTTACCAACCAACATCGTACAGGGTAAACATATCTCAGTTAATCACAACGTTAGAGCCTGTATATTTTACGATGATTTCTAGCAAGGGTGTTTTTACTGACAAACAAATTACTTAGACAAGTTAAAAAACACATTTATGATCTTCATTGGGAAGCTGTTAATAATGATAAAACAGTTATGTCTTCTACAATCAGATCTTATTTCGTTTCGTTTTTTTTTTATAGTTCGTTTTACTTGTCTTCACTACACTAAGATCTGGAAGAGTTGTTATAACAGGCGTTCTAGTTGATGTGAGGAATTAGTCAATGAAACGGTCTGTTACGACAAGGTAAACCCCTAGAAACGTCAGCTCTGATTGATTAATCAATGGCTTACGTCATAGGGTCAAAAGCCGGTCGTATGACCCCTGACTTGACCTTCCAGTACAACTGGTCACATCTTCATGTAGTGTAGGCCATCGAAAGTATAAAAAAACGAAACGAAATATATATCTGTATTTTAATCAGTTGTGTCTTCTATAGTTACATGACGCTGGAGATTTTCTTTTCTAAAAATAGACAAATTATGTTTCTTTACCTGATATATGGAAACCATGCGTTGACATGACCCAACAGAACCGCCATTGTATAACTGAAATAAAATAAAATGGGTCGCATTATTTACGTATAAGAAATTGCCGCTTTGGGCACGGGTCAGGGGAAACCCACGAGGTTAGGGTTGATATACTACCGCCACTAAGCATCTGGAACAAGTTTAAACCAGCGGCTGCCAGGCAGGATACGCCCACATTTTCGAGAGATGGATAGAAAACAAGCTAAAACGAAAGTGATTTTTCCTACAATCAAGGGCCATAATTCAGGAAATTACAATTCGATATGCGCAAATATCGAAAGGAACCAAGATCTTTGAGTTATAAACTTACATTTCAAGTTTTCAACAAAATCGGATAAAAATTGTGACCTCTATAGGGTCCGCAGCCTTGATATATCATATTTTTACGCAATTTGAGAACGAGGGGCGGCCATTTTGTCTGTCAGTTTTGGGCCGATTTTCACGAAATTTGAACTCAGTCGTCCTTAGGGTATAACGGTGATACAATAATACGTTTCTTTAAATCGGATAAAAATTATGACCTCTATAGGGTCGACAAGCTAAAAAAATTATGACCTCTATAGGGTCGACAAGCTAAAAACGCGATTTTTCGTACAATCAGGGGTCATAATTCAATAGTTACGGTCCGATATGCGCGAATATCGAAAGGAACCAAGATCTTTGGGTTATAAACTTACATTTCAAGTTTCAACAAAATCGGATAAAAATTGTAACCTCTGATATACCATATTTTTACGCTATTTGAGAACAAAGGGCGGCCATTTTATCTGTCAGTTTTTGGCCGATTTTCACGAAATTCGAACTCAGTCGTCCTTAGGGTGTAACGGTGATATAATAATATGATTTTTTAAATCGGATAATAATTATGACCTCTATAGGGTCCACAAGCTAAAAACGTGATTTTTCGTACAATCAGGGGTCATAATTCATATGCGCGAATATCGAAAGGAACCGAGATCTTTGGGTTATAAAATTACATTTCAAGTTTCAACAAAATCGGATAAAAATTGTGACCTCTATAGGGTCCACAACCTTGATATACCATATTTTTACGCTATTTGAGAACGAACGGCGGCCATTTTGTCTGTCAGTTTTGGGCCGATTTTCACGAAATTCGAACTCAGCCGTCCTTATGGTGTAACGGTGATATATTAACACGGTTTTTTAAATCGGATAAAAATTATGACCTCTATAATAATAATAATAATAATAATAATAAAAACTTTATTTAATGAGGCAACGTATTTAGTTTGCAAAAAGAAAAAACTAATCTTCCATAGGTCCCTCCTAAACTACAAAGACATATCGATGGCTTAGAGCACAACTGTACTATGTCCATTTTTGGTGAAAATAAGATTTTTAGATATTAAAAATCCTTATTCCAGGGCGCTTGTTGTGTAAAAAGATACAAGTCCCCTGACAATTTAAAGCTATCGAAAAGGCACAATAACCATAAGTGTTATGTACTACCCACATATTTCTTTAGAGCACACATAGTCCATGTCCGGACATAAGTCTTTTGTGCATTTATTCTGGCAAAAAAGTGCGGACATAAGTCATTTGTACATCAATTTGAACAAAAAAGTACAGACATAAGTCATTTGTTGTGCACTACCCACATATTTCTTTAGAACACACATAGTCCATGTCCGGACATAAGTCTTTCGTGCAATTATTCTGACAAAAAAGTACGGACATAAGTCATTGTGGATCACATTTATCCAAAAATCAGCTGTATGCTGTGCTTAAGTTGAAGTGCGTCTCTATCAGCCTATTTGAATTGATTCAAGCAATAATCTTTCCTGAAACCCATATACATCCACTGATAACTTACTTTTTTATAGCTTATTGAAATCTTAAAATACGTTTTTTTCTCAAACCTTAAAAATGGACATAGTACAGGTGTGTTCCAAGCCATCGATATATACATGTAATATCAGGATAAATTTAAAATCATTAGAAATGCAATAGCATTTTAAAGTGGGAAGTTTGATAAGTCACTCCCAAACTACAAAACATATACATTATACAAGTAGAATATAGGAAGAACACTATAATTACACACAAAATAAAATAGAATGCAGTTGCAAGTTAAAAATAATAAGTATGTCATCAGTTGAATATTATGGTTCCTTCAGTGTGCAAAATAAATGAGTTTTCAGTTTAATCTTAAAATTTTCAACATTTTTACACATCTTTATATCAAAAGGCAGATTGTTCCATAAAAGACATGCAGAATAATGAAAAGTACGTTTCATGGATTCCGTTTTGCATTTTTGAAGAAAAAGAGATTTACTGGTCTGTGAACGGAGCAAGATATCCGTTTTGGAAACAAGAGATTTTTCAATAAAATGGAAATTTAGATAAAGTGGAGTATTAAATGTAATAATTTTGAATGATAAGACAATTTTATTGTAAAGAATCCTCTGTGTAAGGGTAATCCAACCGAGTTTAGTAAATAAAGAGGTGGACGGAGTTTCAATCGGTGCATCAAGAATAGCTCTTGCTGCCCTCTTTTGTAATTTTAAAAGAATGTCTAATCTACTTTTGGTAGCATTTCCCCAAATAATAGAGCAATAATCAAATATTGGTAGTATGTAACTGTTATAAAACAGTAAATGATCTTTTATCTTATTTAGGAGAAATATTTTTGATGCAAGTTTTTTAGACGTATCTGCTATCTGTGCTTCCCAATTAAGGTCTTGGTCAATTTGAATTCCAAGTAATTTTGCGGTAGTAACCGTCTCAATTTTCTCACCATGGAGTGATAAAGTTAGGTTTTTCTGATTTCTTTTGTGTTTTGTTGAAATCAGCATTGATTTTGTTTTCGAAGGATTGATTACCATCCCATTGTTTTCACACCATTTAGCAACCAAATAGAGATCATTTTGGAGATTTTTGGCGATGGATAAAATATCTTTGTGTGAACAATGCAGGGTACTGTCATCAGCAAACAAATCTATCTGACTTGATTCAATATTGAGTGGGAGATCATTTATAAAAATTAGGAATAGGAGAGGACCCAGGATCGAACCTTGTGGAACCCCGCATTTGACTGTAGTAATTGAGGAGGTAATTGATCCTAAACATACTTTTTGCTTCCGTGAGTCAAGATATGATTCAATCAAAATTTGTGAATTATTATCAAATCGATAAAGATGTAGTTTTTCAATAATAAGCTTATGATCAATGAGATCAAATGCTTTGCTAAAATCAAGATACACTATACCACTCATCGCACCATTATCGATAGCATCAAGCCAATTATCTGTCATTCGGATCAGTGCAGTAGCACATGAATGATTTGATCTAAATCCAGATTGGTAAGCATAAAGAACATTGAAGGTTTCCAAATAAGTTTGAATTTGAGTGCTCAAGTGCCTTTCGAATATTTTTGAAATTGTGGGGAGAATTGAGATTGGCCTATAATTGTTCGGATCATCTTTAGCTCCCTTCTTATGTATAGGAATAATTTTAGCCAGTTTAAGGGCACTGGGGAACATGTTTTGAGAAATACAAAGATTAATGATATATGTCAAACTACTACAAATTGTATACGCAGACAATTTTAAAATTTTGGGTCCAATACCATCACACCCAATGGCTTTGTTACTATTTAAACTCAATAAATGTTTTAATACCTCTGTGGTAGTAATACAATTAATAGAAAAGTTGTTATTTGGGGGAATCTTATCATTTACGTAATCTGATATCTTTCGTTTGCACTCTTGAGAAAGTGGTGTATAGGGGGGCTTAATGTCATCAGTTAAATTAGTGAAGTAATCATTCATCACATTAGCAATAGCATTTAGATCATTAACTGTTGTTTTTCCATATTTAATACTATTGGGATAAGGGCAATTATTGGGTTTATTCTGTATGTCACGAAAATATCTCCATATGTTTTTAGATTGCTCTTCATTTTCGATAGAGTCCTTGATCAAGTTTTTTTTGGCTTTATTAATGAGATTTTTGGTTTTATTTCTCCATATTCTATAGTCGTCACACCTCTTGGAGGCTTTAAAGAAGTCCCTGAACTTTCGGGCTTTATTTATTTCCTCATTAAACCACTTCGGTTGATAGTATCTTTTTACTCTTTTTCGCTTTTGCGGAGCATGGCAGTCTAAAACACCTATAAAAAGGTCATACCAAGTATCAAGGGCAGAATTTGGGTCATCAATTGACTCGACTAGTTCAAATGGAATTTTAGCAAGATCATTAATAAAATTAGAATCATCAAAGTTTTTGTAATTTCTGTATAGAATTTCCAAGTGGTTGTGTTTTGTGATTTTTCTCTTGCAGTTTCCAATGATAAAAATAATCGGAAAATGGTCACTAATACCATATTGAGGAACTTTAATTTCAACAATATTATCCGGTGTGTTTGTATATAGATGGTCAATGACAGTAGAAGAATTTTTAAAACAGCGTGTAGGGGCAGTAATTAATTGATGTAATCCCTGCATATTGATTATGTTTTCCCATCGTTTTGGAACAGTAGTTGAATAATCTATATTAAAATCTCCTATTACATAAATAGATTGACCAGTATTTATGGAATTTAAACTAGTTTCAAAATCATCAAACCAACCTGTACACGAAGAAGGTGGTCTATATACAAGACATAATAAAAATGATTTTTCATATTCTGGATGGAGTTCAATCCAAATGGATTCGATATTTTGATGTTCATAATCAAGTTTTCTTGAATATTTTAGATCTGAATTTACATATAAGATAAGGCCTCCGCCACTTTTGCTCAGTCGATCTTTTCTGATCAGATCATAACCAAAGATATTAATAAATTTATCGTCAATTTCAGAATGTAAAAACGTTTCAGAAAAGCCCATGACATTAAAATTTTCATTATCTTGCAAAATTAAATCCCTTACTTCATCAATTTTACCGAAAAGTCTATTTATATTTAAATGACCTATTTTAAAACCTTTACGTTTGGTTGAAAATAAAGTGGAAACAGAGGGATAATTGATGGATTGTAATGAATCGAGGGTTACATCAGAGTCAATAAACTGACTGCTGAGGTCGCCTTTATGCATCGTTGGATCATTACTTTTATGATCTTCAAAAATCAGACTATTATTATCAGTACCAACAGGATTATCGAAGGAAGTTTCAGTATCATTAGTTGTGCTATTACTTGAAAGAGTTACATTAGTGAAACAGTGGAAGTTATCAATCAATGGTTCAATAGAATAATCAAAAATATTAGTGGTGTTGGTCATATATTGCATAAAATTATTATAATCAATTAAATCAGAATCATACGTAGATTTTCCGGCTTCAAAAACATTGCCTTTATCCTAGTACCTATCTGTACAATATTGCCTATGAAATGCTTTACAATAATTCGCTTTATGACCCTCAATATTACACCGGTAACATGTAACCTTGGTACCAATTTTACACGTGTCTTTTGTATGACCCGAAATACCACAGAAGAAACAGGGTTTAATGAAACTATTGTTAATGTCTAGTCTTTCCTTGATAATGTCTACATATTCTTCATAAATATGTAGTAGTGCAGATGTACCTCTGTCAGACAAGTGAATATTGTCTTTCCAAATATGTCTGTAGTCAGATTTTATTGAATCAAACACTCGAATTAGATTTACTGCCTTTTGAACACAAAACTCACGAAGGACATTGTTATAAAATTGAATGTTATGATCGATATTTTGTCCTGCCTGGTCATGTCTTGGTGTAGCCTCACAGATGAAAATATGTGCATTTGGCCTTTTCTTTCTAATAGTGTCCACTGTTCTTTTCAGGTCATATGTAATATCAGATAAGGACCGTAGCTCTGATACGTCATTCCCTCCAGCCTGAATGATAATTTTGTCATACATGCTGAGATCCATGCGCTGTAGATTTTTGACAATGTTGAAAATCTTGGCACCATTAATTGACAGCACTTTAACATTTGATTTTAGCCCATTTAATTTAACTCTTTGTAAAATGGAACTGCCGATAAGAAGAATGTTTTTCTGGGATTGGGTTTCATTTGACAATTTATCTCCAATTACAATCGGTGGTTCTTTGGGTTTACTGGTGTCAATGACCTTTAGTCCATCCTGTCTCTCTTCAGTTAAGGTTCTAGTTGTTAGTGGCGTATCTGTACTGGCACGTGTCTTTGATGTTGATGGGGTCGTGTGGGTGGTAGTTTCTGTTGTAACATTCTTATCATCGTGGGAATGGAGATTTATAATGGATACATTGTTGTCTGAAGTATTATCTCTTGTACTAATCGGTTTGTCGTCACTAGTATTTTGTTGTTGATTTACTGCTGGTGTCTCATTTGATATGATTTTGATAGTGTCTGTGTTGATTTCCTGACTGGTTAGCATTACCGGGTCTGTTTGAGTTGCACTACAAGACAAAAAACGCGTTTTTGCGTAAAACCAGGGGCCATAATTCATGAAGTTACAATCCGATATGCGCGAATATCGAAAGGAACCAAGATCTTTGTGTTATAAACTTACATATCAAGTTTCAACAAAATCGGATAAAAATTGTGACCTCTATAGGGTCCACAACCTTGATATACCATATTTTTACGCTATTTGAGAACGAACGGCGGCCATTTTGTTTGTCAGTTTTGGGCCGATTTTCACGAAATTCGATCTCAGCCGTCCTTAGGGTGTAACGGTGATATATTAACACGGTTTTTTAAATCGGATAAAAATTATAATCTCTATAGGGTCCACAAGCCAAAAAACGCGTTTTTGCGTACAATCAGGGGCCATAATTCATGAAGTTACGGTCCGATATGCGCGAATATCGAAGGAATCAAGATCTTTGTGTTATAAACTTACATTTCAAGTTTCAACAAAATCGGATAAAAATTGTGACCTCTATAGGGTCCACAACCTTGATATACCATATTTTTACGCTATTTGAGAACGAACGGCGGCCATTTTGTCTGTCAGTTTTGGGCCGATTTTCACGAAATTCCAACTCAACCGTCCTTATGGTGTAACGGTGATATATTAACACGGTTTTTTTAAATCGGATAAAAATTATAATAATACGGTTTTTTTAAATCGGATAAAAATTATGACCTCTATAGGGCCCACAAACCAAAAAACGCGTTTTTACGTACAATCAGGGGCCATAATTCAGGAAGTTACGGTCCGATATGCGCGAACCGAGATCTTTGGGTTATAAACTTACATTTCAAGTTTCAACAAAATCGGATAAAAATTATGACCTCTACAGTGTTCACAAGCCAAAAACGTGATTTTTCGTACAATCAGGGGCCATAATCCATGAAGTTACGGTGCGATAGATGCCAATATCGAAAGGAACCGAGATCTTAGGGTGATTAACCTATATTTGAAGTTTCATTGAAATCGGATAAAAATTGTGACCTGTGGACGGACGGACGGACAGGGGCGACGACAATATACGTCCACATGAAAATGTGGGCGTATAAAAACATCTTGGAATAAAGTTAACGTCATGTTTTAATACAAAAATTAAAGATTTAAGCTACGCTTTTAATAAGCGGCACTATGTTGTCTCGCAGAAGCTCCACAGGGGCGCACAGCAGGGGTTGAAACAACGACCGTAAGCTAGAGGTGACCGGTCAGCTATAAACCCATAGGCCATCCAAATCTCCCGAGAAAAGTGGGACCCCATTTTATATTAGTACGCAAGAATCGGTCAGGAGTTAATGAGTACCAGCGTGTCAGCTTGTTTATACAATTCAACGTATATAGGTGTGGAGCACTATACACAGGGCCCTTGAGAGGAAAACATTGTGCTGGGGCGAGACCTACCCCACCCCACCCCCTGCCTTCCTTTCCAACACAGTCATATATAGATGACTATAACAATACAACTTTTGTTCATACTTATTTAAGTTTCAAAGAAACAATAAAAAAAACTCACGCATAATTACCCATTTCAATTCATGGGCCCATAGACGCTTATGGACCCTAAATTATTAACATATAAAGACCAGAATCAACTCTCGATGCCATCTTATGTATTCGATTTTCACTGAATTTGCATCCGATCTGCTGTTCAAGCTCACTGATGATTAAACTCAAAAGTGGATAATCGAGACTGACTTTAGTAATGATGATCGAGGCTAGGCCTAAAATTCAATCGCTAAAATCTCGGTTCAGAGTGGAGCAATTTGACTGAAATTTTCAGCATATTCCCTTTACATTATTTAGTTTTTAACTATTACAGTGAGAACAGCCAGCTCTTTATCTAATCTTCCATAATGTCCCTTTAATAAAAACTACAGAATCCTAATCAAAACGGGGGAGTTGGGTGGCTGAATGGTTAGCACGTGCGCGCTGTGCCATAAAGTCTGTCATTGAGTCAACTGACGTGGTTTCGATTCTCCGGTTGTACGTGACAAGGAGTAGGGTCGCCTGTCCAACCTCGTGGGTTTTCTCCGGGTCCTCCGGTTTCCTCCCACTGCTAACGACCCCTACACGCAAACGAATTATGGAAATAATAAAATTGAACAATATGTTAGTCCCGAAATGACCTAGTTTGTGTCGAGTGGACGTTAAACTCTCTCTCTCTCTCTCTCTCTCTCTCTCTCTCTCTCTCCCCCTAATCAAAACGCCGTTACGAGTAAACAGTTATTATACTCCATAGAACCGAGACCTGAGTATTTCGAAGGTAAACGTCATTGAATAAATTTAACCTTGGTAAATTGTTATCTTTACTTATGTTACCAGTAATAACATTAAATACATAAAATATTTTAAAAATACTTACGATATAATACAAGTCAATGGAAACATGATAGTCAAGGCGATAACGATAAAATGACCTCGATATGTCACCATTTTGTATGATTTGGTGTTGTATTGGATTTAATACAAAGTTAACAAATAAATAATAAATGCAGAGATAAAAATACACGTTTGGTTTTAAATCACATTATTTGTTCACGACTGCTACTCTTCCTTTATGATTCCTTTCTTTCAAATACTCCTGGTCTATATTATTTGTGTCCAAAATCAGTATTTAAACACTACAATATGTATTTGGTTCGCGTGTCATAAACTTCTTCAGTACTGTTAAAATATAACCACACAGAGAATTATTCACAAAATGAAGGTGGGACATTTATCAAAAATAAAATGTCTATTGAACATATAGCAAGTCACGAGCTATGGCCTAATCAATAAATGAGTTACAGTGTAAGAGTGGGAAGGGGTGCGGGGAGCACAAGCCCCCCTAATCTGATGGGGGTTGTGTGGGTGTGTGTATGTGTGTGTGTGGATTTTTTTAAACGCGATATTGAACAAATGACTAACAGGTTTACGGCCACAAATTCAAGGTGAATGTGTTTCACCGTTCATTAAGGGCAAGAATTTTCAAAGGCCTATGACTCGTGAGACTGTGTTTTAAATGTGATGATAGTTCACATTGATATGTTTTATTGGATCTTCGCAATGGCAGTCAACAAAATCGCTCTATTTTAATTATTTCTGTTGGTTGTGTAATAGTTTTACAAAAAGACGTGCAGAAACTATTGAAAAGGGTTAGTCGAGGGTTCGTGCCCCCGCCCCTTTACCCACCCACCACACACACGTAAGAAAACCCCGGCGCCGCCAATGTCATATATAGTCTTTAATATTAACCCCGGGAGATAGCTATCACACTTAGCAACAATCAGTACCTTGGACGTATTAGCGTGATAAAACACAAAGATAACGACGAGTTATCAACCCTTTGTAAATTCCATTTCATGGCATGACGAATCATTAAACGTTAGAATATGTTGCAATGTGTGTTACATTAGATTATTTATTTTTATCAGTAAATAAACCTTTAGATAAACGTTTATATAAATACCGGTACTGACTTATCTCCCCTTACGAAAGCGGTCTAATAAAATTGGTAGGAAATCGAACAGAACATACTAGGTCATTTCGGGACTAACATAGCCTATGGTTCAATTATTTCAATAATTCGCTTGCGCTTCTGGGTCTTTGGCAGTGGGATTAAACCGGAGGACCGGGGCAAAACACACGAAGTTGGACAGGCGATCCCACTCCTTGTCACGTACAACCGGGGAATCGAAACCACGCCAGCTGACTCAATGACAGACCTTATGATACAGCACACACGTGCTAATTCGACCACCTACCCCCCCCCCTCCACCACCACCAGCCCCGCATGCATACGCCATTCTATGTGCTATGAGAGAACGTTATGTGTCGCGCCCGGGACAACTGTCGTCTCATCGCCAACTATCTTCCGCCATGTAGAGTGCTATGATAGACAAACAGCGGTGCCACGGTCTACTGTTATTTCGCATTCCAACTGTCAAGGAGTCTCTCAAGTGCGCGCCAACGTGTAGGCCTACACGGGACCACGTTTTATTGTCCCATCCAACCATTAGACACTGTTCATTGCTAGGCCCTCCGTCCTACACAAGGGACGCTTCTTTTTATTGTATTGTGTATATAATTCGTTATAATTTATGACCGGCTTATCAGAATTATACAGGAACAGGGTTTATCTGGTTCATTTTGAGACTAACATAAACATACGTTGTATTTTCTACGTTCACTTGTGCAATTGTTGGGAGTTTCTATCTATTCTTCATTAGATAATCCCACCTGACACAAATGGTGAATTTATAGTGTGTGATAAAGGGAAAGTAGAGATTACGTCATTGAAGAAATGATTCAATTGATAAAGGTGAAGGTCGAAATTCCAGGTGTCGCTTGCAGACGAGACGACATTGACAGGCTAAGCTAAGGAATCTGACGGGTCGATTTCTGTTAATTTAGACAATTTATACACAGAATTGACATAATAATTTATATTATGTTTGCCAGTAAAGCTGTTGTTGATCAAATAACGACAGATAAGCCACTGATGGCCTGGGACTAGGCCCCCGAAAACACCGGAAACGTTTACACACTGCACAACTTCGACGGTAGGCTAGTTGACGTCACGACTATACAGCTGTGACCACGACCGAGGTTACAATCGACTGTAAATTAATAAATATAGCATTTATATTCGCCGTGTAGTCCCTTATATTTCCAATTCCCGTCGTGACATTTCAATTTGCCGTGTGCCTTATAGTAAAATGACGTTAGGGTATTGTTCTTGTTTTCATTTTATGTAAATTTATTTGTAGGCCTAATGATCGCGTTGTCTTCATTTTAAATTTATGTAAAAAAAATGGAAGGCCCAATGTTCTTGTTTTCATTTTAGCCAAAGTATGGAAAACAAATTGAAGGCCCAATGTTATTGTTTTCATTTTAGCCGAAGTATGGAAAAAAGACTGGAGGCAATTAAAGAAAATATCCAGGCAGGAAAAGTCACAGGAAAAGTCAACGTTCGGTCTAGAAAAAAGAGACGATTGGCTTTAGCAGAGAGAAATTGTCCGTGTCAGAGTGAAAATACCAAGGCCAAGTCTGTATTGTCAGAGGCCCAAAGAGAAAATATCGGATGTTGTGATTCCGTAAATATGTCACTGAACAACGAACTAACAGGTTTTATAATAATAATACTGACAGCCAATTAGTATAGGCGTTTTCCCTTGCCATGTTCCCTGCCAACAACCGGTTTAGAGTTACAATTTCATATTTTTAAGTTAAGATGTATTAAAATAAAGCCCTAAAATATATGTTATCTATAAACAGTCCTACCTTGTTCAAGAATAATCCAATTAATCCTATAATTTACTATTGCCAGTTGAGAAATTGGCACAAATATCATTTTCAACTTCAATTTCAAACGTTTGAAGATAGCTATTCCATGGTGAGAAATAGGAAAACAAGAGGGGTAATTGTGTTATTATTTCCGGTGTGAAGATTTTTAAATGTGAGAAAGATAACCTATGATCGTATAATAGTGAGTTGACAACCTATTGAGCAAAAGACATAGAAATAATTATATTTTGACTTGCTTAGAAAATAAGAAATTGTAACTTTAAACGGGGGACCCATTGTCGTACTCACTGAGACAACATGGCATCCATTCTGCACACAGACATCCATCTACTTAATGCGTCGAAAACGGAGTTAATTGTGGACAGGCAGCCTAAGTTTAGTATGCGTGGCATCCTTTACATACTAGTGAAATACACAAACATAAATGGTTTGATAAACTTACGTCAACTTCCACTATAAAAGGGGAAGTGGTAACAGGTGTTCTAGGAATAGTTACCAATCAGCGTACAAATATAAAAACCATTTTCATTTAACTGGGGTCATTTACCGCATGCCTCTTTAATTGTATTGTTTTTCTTCTTGTGTTTATTTCAGATTGTTCCAGTCCTCCGCCCAATGTTAACTATAAGTTGTATTGTGGTCAGAAGGAAAGAAAAAACTCCATTGGAAATAAAATGCAAAATAACAGCTCCCCTACTTTTACAAGGGTAAATTAAACTTCTAGAAAATATATCTTTTTCAAACAGTGCAATATCGTATTATGTTATGTTGTTGTATTACCGGAGGCGCCCTATAGCGAATTGAATCAACCAAAATAATGCTCTTTTATGTGTATTAGTTTAATAAACCCGTTTGCGGGGACTACTCATTCCCAAAAAATCAATTTTTTCAATTTAAGTCTTTAAAATTTATTTCACCATCAGCCACACTCCATTCCACCAGATTCTTGCATAAAGTACCCAGTACTGTTTTCAAGTCATGAAATACCCCTATTTTAATTTAGGTCGTTTCAAATCTTGCACCATCACCACTTCCCCGCTGCACCCTCACCCCCACCCCCAAGAGAATCCTGCATGTGCTTCCATTTTGAAATTTGAAATCACGAAATTCGAAATACAGCTGATTTCGTTTTCACGCATTGTGCACGCAAAGGAGAATATTTAATTGCCTTTTTATTGGATATTTTGATTGATGACGTCAGCGTAGAATAAAAAGCCATCAATGATCAATTGCGTCAGGATTACAATCAGAGAGAGAGAGAGAGAGAGAGAGAGAGATGGGTTTAACTTCCGCTCGACACAAACTAGGACATTGATTGCAAATCATCTCTCTTATCTTTCAAAAAAATCTCACTGACCATTCTTTGATAATTTTGTTTTTTAAGCAAGAGGAAGAAGATATTGATCTAAGGGCAGATAACTATGTTAGATCTGTTTTACCTGATTCACGTTATTACATTCTCCCCCAGCACGCTCCACTTTATGTACTGGAAGATAAAACATCAGTAGTTGTACACAGAGATAAAACAAGGAAGAAATCGCGACGATCATATAATAATATAGACTGTTACGTCACACATCAAGACCGTAATGATTATTATGATAATACACAGATGTTACCTATAGGTGAGTAAAATAGACCCTTCTCTTCTACCTGTAAAATAGACCCTTCTTTTCTACCTGTTACCTTGTGGGTGAGTACAATAGACCCTTTTCGTCTACCTGTTACCTTGTAGGTGAGTAAAATAGACCCTTCTTTTCTACCTGTAAAATAGACCCTTCTTTTCTACCTGTTACCTTGTGGGTGAGTAAAATAGACCCTTTTCTTCTACCTGTTACCTTGTAGGTGAGTAAAATAGACCCTTTTCTTCTACCTGTTACCGTATAGATGAGTAAAAGAGGCCCCTCTATTCTATCTATAAAATAGACCCTTCTCTTCTACCTGTTACCTTGTGGGTGAGTAAAATAGGCCCTTCTCTTCTACCTCTTACCTTGTTGGTGAGTAAAATAGATCCTTCTCTTCTACCTGTTAGGCCTACCTTATACGTGAGTAAAATAGACCCTTCTCTTCTACCTGTAAATTAGACCCTTCTCTTCTACCTCTTACCTTGTAGGTGAGTAAAATAGACCCTTCTCTTCTACCCC